CAGATTATGGGCGCACTGAAGGTTGACCACCATAAACTCCATGTCGATCCTGGCGTGGTGCTGGCCGTCGCCGACTTCCACGGGGAGGACTATCGTGCCCTCGGCGTCGATAGAGTCCCCGGTGAAACCGGACCACAGTGTCTTGATCGGCTTGAACAAAGATTTGTTCAACTTCAGCTGCTTGAAGGTGTCCAGGTACATGACATTGACGGAGCTCCCCGTATCGATGTAAGTTCGGTGGATGATAAAATCACCAATCTCACACCGGATGACGAGTGTGTCCCTGTGTGAAGCGGGCCCCGGAGGCAGATCCTTGGGGGGAACGTGGGACACTTCCCCAATGTAGAGGGATTGGGCCCATTTCTTCCTCTGGGTGACGGAATCCCCCCAGTGTTCCCGCCTACGATGAGGTGAATGTGGTTCTTCTTCATCGGAGGTTCTTCAAAGTCCTCCTCGTCATCGCTGAGCTTACCGATCTCCCGCTTTTTCGTAGAGGGTTTGGCCCCAGGTTTGTTGGTGTTTACCCACGTATTTTTGCGCGGGCCACCTTTAACAAATTGGGAGAGTTCCCCCTGCCGAATCAGGCGCTCGATAGCTTTTTTCAGCGTGATGCAGCCACCAGTGTTGTGGGAGGTATTCTTATGAAACCGATAGTAAGTGCCACTCTGGTGGATGGCAGGGATCTCCTTTGTTGGCCAAGGATCACGCTCAATGAGATCGTGCTCCTCGGCGTAGTCGAGGATGGTGCTGACCGAGTGTGTGAGTGGGATCTTCGGCCGTTCCATCCTCGGCCGCCAATGGCGGTCTTTCTTGCTTTGTCCGCCAGAGCCATGGCGAATCTGGCCACCTTGACCGGCCGAGGGCGTGCCCATGACCGGTGAAGGATTTGTCTTCTTCGGGGGGGGGGGGTGCCCGCCATCTTCTTGTGGCTGTGGAGTTTGTCGGCGTCGGCGTACAAACTCCCCCGCTGGAGTGCCTTCGCGTATGACCTTGGGGGGTCAGTGATGAGGCTCCTTGCATTTTGGGTCCTGCGGAGAGCCCCCTGATAGAGGACGAGGAGGGTGCGCTCGTCGGCCCCCTCTACCTCCTCGGTCTCTTTCGTCCACCGATCTATGAATGATCAGAGGGACTCGTCGTGTTGCTGCTTGACGGAGAGTAGGTGGGTGAAATACTTCTTCGCACGTTTCCTCCCGGCAAAGTGAGTGAGGAAGCGTTGGGCAAGATCCTGCCATGAGTCTATGCTTCCTTCGGGGGAGCGCGTTGAACCACTCGTACGCTGGCCCCTCAAGGGTGGAGAGGAACCAGCGGCAGAGGTATTCATCCGACGTGTTCACCATGAGCATGTTATTTTGGTAGCGGCTGAAATGCTCCTGGGGGTCGGAGCGGCCGTCATATGACTTGATGGCGTTTCCCCGGTACTTCTCGGGGATAGGGGCCGAGAGTACCCTGGTGGTGAAGGGGGTCCTCGTCCTGACCTGTATGATGGAGTCCCCTCACCCTTCGGCCAACATCCTTTCAAGGATAATGACCTTGTTCAGAAGGGCGTTGAAGCCGGGATCTCTGGACAAGTTGCCGGTGGGCGTGGCGGACAGCTGTTTAGCCTCCATCTGGGCGAGCCTTCGCTCGAGTTGGGCGATTACCTCGTCCCTGGGATCCCTAGCGGTCGTAGCGGCGCCCTGTGTTTGCAAGCGGGCTGCATGAGCCGTATTGATTTGGTGGCGGGCATCATCCTCATGCAACTTTCCGTTGCCTTTGTCCAGGTGGGGTTGATCCGTTGTCTGGGATACCGACCCCAAGCTTTCCCTGGGTGATCCAGGCTCACGCCACCCAATCCGTCCCGCCATCCTCTCCGAAGCAGGCCGACGACACGTGTCACCTAGCCTGTTAAAGGCTGAGGCTTTTCCACGCGCTGGGGCCGGTCCAGCTCGAAGTGGGGAAGCAAGGTGGGAGTGGGACGACAAAGTGTCCTGGGCCACCACCCCTTCGTCGTTGCCTAGTTTGACGGCCAGTGGTTGGGGCTGAGGAGGTGGTGTAGTGTTCTCCCCAGTCCTCGGCATGAGCGCGCTGAGGACGATGGGGTTCTGGGCCAAGCTGGCGATGATGGCCGAGAGCGCGGCCTGAAGCTGAGGGTCAACGGCAGGAGAGGCTGGTTGCGCCGAGGCATTGTCGCCTTTCTCCGCGCGCTTCTTGTCCAAGCCGAGGCGGGCATCAGGGCCGCCGCCGTTGAGCTTGTTGCGCAGGTCTCCTGCGAGGTCGATGGCTTCCTGGAAGACATCCCCCTCAGCGGTCTTGTCGGCCGTGGCGTCCTCCTTGTGTTCCTGGTTCTCTTGGGCCTCAGGGATGGCCTTGCCGAAGAGGTTGGGTTTGACTTAGTTCTTCCCATTGTCAGTTAGCTGTGCTTGGTGGTGACGAAGGAGGCTAACTTGATTGTTCTAGCTCTCAATGAAAGCACCAAATGATAGAGTAAATCTAGAGAGAAGTGAGAGCTAGAGAGAGAAGTAGTATAATTGCTCAGTATTAATGAATTTTCAGAACCCCCATAACTACTCCCAAAGGGTGTATTTATAGGAAAAATTAGAGCTGGGCTCCCAAGTCTTGGACTTGGAAGGCCTGTTTACAACTGGACCGCTATTGGGTCGAATACAAAGTAAATGATAGAGTATACAAATGATTAAGTACAGAATCCTGTTCTGGGAGTCCTTTATGGCCGACGAGGGTCTGGCCAACGAGGACATGGCCGACGAAGACATGGCCGATGAGGTCACCCGGTTCTTCTGGCTTCCGGATCATATTCTGGGTTGACTTCGTTCCAGCCGATGAGGGTCATCTGGCCGACGAGGGTCCCACTAGGTGATAGTTGTGTCTTCTGTCCTCTTGAGTATGTGGGTCCTGGGGTCCAAGCCCATATACTCCATCAGATGGTACTATAGGCTCAATCATAGCCCAATAAGTCAACACCGGACCAATTCAATGAAAGAATGATGATTACTTGCACGGGGTAGCTCAGTTGGTTGAGTGTTGTGAAATTTAGAGGAATGACCCAGGATCAAAATTCGCAGCGACCATGTGGAGGTTACAGTTCTTGCATGTTGAACTGAACCTCTGGTGCGCACAGGTATAAAACCTATCATCATAGGGCTGATCGAGTCAGTGTGATTTATATTCTCTCATATACCTTGTCGGGTCGGGGCGTGGGGGCCCTTGGGGTTAGGGATTCAGTCTTCTGGAGAAAATGAAATAATGATGATTAGCCCAAGGCACATGATTAACGAATATAGACTAATGGGAGGCCTGAATAGGGAGACCCAGACCTGTGAAGGACTAGCCACACTAGGACTGATCTGGACAGCAGGTCTCGAGCCTGGCTGGAGTCCCATCAAGGTCGGACTCCCCCTCGTACTTACGTGACAAGTCTATTTGTAACAAATGTTAATTTGGCAGCGACAGGAAATACCTAAAGGAACATGGACATTAAAGAGACATTAATTACGAAAGTTATGACACAGACCTAATAGAGATTGTCTAGTTGTACTGTAGCTCTATGCCTATAAATACTTCCTGCAAAGACCTAATAGAGACCGTCTCTAGTCTACAATAATAAAACCGCCTTATATTGCCAAATTATTTACTCTTTTACATATACCAAGCCCATCGTCAAATTAGTTTTTGCAGTTGAAATTATAATACTTCATTAGTTATCATCTTTTTCATCATTTTAAGGGAAAAGGGGCAAATAAGCCTACGTACTAACCAAAAAAGGTTAAATAAGCCATTATATAGGAGGCTCTGTCCGGCAGTCATCATTTGGGGCAGATCCCGGTGGATTTTTTTGATGACATTTTTTGAAAATCTTATTCATTAAGCCTAGTTTACTCATACCAAATTTCAGCTAACAATTCAATGGGGCAAATAAATTATTGAAGATAACTGCGCTTTTAAGTTTTAACTGCGCAGTTATCTTCAAGAATTCATTTGAATGTCTTCCCGATTGAAGTTTTACCTGAAATTTGGTATAAGTAAACTAGATTTAATGAATATATGCTCAAAAAATTGCATAAAAAATTTAACCGGGAACCGTCCCAAATGACGACGGCCGGACATAGCATCCTATATAAGGGCTTATTTGACCCATTTTTGTTATTACGTGAGTTTATTTGCCCCTTTTCTCTTGTTTTAATGTAAGCCTTCCACCCTAAAAAATACCAAACAGCTCTAAGGGCTCTGTATTAATGTGTATTGATGTATTCTAATACTAGTACTTCCTCCGTTCCATAAAAGTTGCAATATTGAAATTTCTGCACTATTCACACACCTTACTTTGACTACGATTTTCTAATAATATATATAATTAAAATATTATGTATAAAATATTAATAAATTTGTATTAATTTAAATTTCCGATATACTTCCTCCGTTCTTAAATAAATGCACCGGTCAACATTTCACACTTGCCGAGACACAACTTTGACCATTAATATAAATGATTTTGTATTAGTAAAAAAATAAAAAAAATAGATTATGAAAATTTACAATGAGACAAGTTTAACAATATTTTTTTCACAAAATAATATTATTACATTAATAAATAAAACGTAGTCAAAGTAGAATATGTGAATAGTGTAAAAGTCAAAATGTTGCATTTATTTAAGAACGGAGGTAGTATTAACTTTTTTTAATGTTTACTAATACGTAAATAAATATAATTACAGTCAAAGTTGCGCGTTGGCAAACGTGAAAGTCAAACTGTTGCAACTTTTATGGAACATAGATATTACTCCCTCCGATCCCAAATGAAATTCACACTTTCCTTTTTGGGTAGGTCCAAAATAAACTTCAGTGCCAAACAGTGTCAAAAATTGTCACAACAGTGTACACTACTGTAAAGTCAAATTTATTTTCTTAATTTGCGTGAAGTTAAAGTATAATTTCTGAAAGAGCAACGTTTGTTGTGGGTTGACAAGATAACTTCAAACATTTTTTTTAAAGAAGGAATGAATGCAGATTCTCATCCCGGCCAGTGTCCACTGTACTTTCCTAGTCCTAGAGAAGACTATTTTGACACGCCCATTGTCACCCACTGGCGTCTCATCTCCCACCGCTTCAAAAAAAGGAAAAAGAAAATCGAAGTTGCAACAATCAAAGACAAAATCGACATTCATCAGCACTTCACATGATCATAAAAATTAGAAATCACAATTAATGCAATCCTCCTTTCAACCGTTTTGGACTCCTTTCTCAGCCTCTCTCCAAAGACCTTCAATCGTCACCTTCATCCATTTCTCATAACAGTGGCGGGTGTTGGTTTATTTTGAGTTTTGAAGTAGTCTGTTTTTCGTGCGGTAGGATCTTGTTCAAGAAAGACTACGTTTGGTCAACTGAAAAGGTCAGTGTAATGAGCCGTCTGCGAACTTTAATCTATCATTTTCTTCCCATAGCTCTGTTTAAATGCGTGTACGTTGTTGATCTCAACCCTATGCACAAGCTTGTGATCTGGCCTAGCTATGCCCCTTCTTCCTTTATTATCATCAGCGATCACATTTTTATTCAATAAGTTCAATTTGATACTGCTTTAGGAGTCTATAGATGACTTGGTTCAAAGATATATTGGTATTTCTTCCAATGAGCCTTATTTAATTTGTGTGTAAGATTGCGGGAAGGTTGTTCTAATTGATGGCTATTCCTGCTATGCTAACTTGCTGAGAAAGATTTGCTTGAACATGTCAGAATGAGGTGAAAAGCGCCTGTTGGCAGATTTGACATTTGGACTCACACTAGGATAACTAGATTAATATATTTTGATATTAGGGTTCATGAGATACTAGCCTGATGCTATATGAAGCTTGGGTTTATATTCAGGAAAATTCCTTTTGTACACGCCAAGTTTTACACGCCGGGTTACACGCCTGTCAAATTGTCTGTGTACAAACAATTTGAACGGCTACACACACATTTTGAGTGGCGTTTTACGAAGAAAATTGATTTTCACAAAGACAAAAATAAAAAAATGTCTGTATCACAGAGACTTTATGAAAAATTCAGGTCTAAAATGTCTGTGATACAGACAACTCCTTATATTTTGTATGTATGGAAATCGATTTTCTTCTTAAAACGCTGGTCAAATTGTCTGTATACAGACAATTTGACCGGCGTGTAACCCGGCGTGTAACCCGGCGTGTACACGAAGCGGGACTCGTATATTCATGAGTGCCTATTATATTATATTGGGTTTATATAATTCAAGACTGGGTGAATAGATTGGAGTTTATGAGATATTAATCTCATACTACCTCCGTCCCTTAAAACTTTGCCAAATTTGACCGGCACGGAGAATAATAAAGTAAAAACTGTGTGGTTGAGATTTGTGCAGACTGCAGAGGAGAGAGAAATAACAGAAACCACAAAATAATTGATTAAAAGGGAAAGTGGCAAAGTTTTTTGGAACGTCCCAAAAAGGAAAGATGGTAAAGTTTTAAGGGATGGAGGGAGTACATGAGATTATGAGAAGTCATATTGGATTTGACTAGTTGCTCCAGTCTTAAAAAACGAAAATTCATAGTTACATTTAGTGTATGACCATGCACATTTATGCTTTTAACGTTCTTTTCTTGTATTGTCATTATGAAGGAATAAAATTCCAAATGTATGATATTTTGCAATTAGAATGTACAGTATATCCTTATTTTTTCAGTTCAGTAAGAATCTACTGCTAGCATACTCACCAAACCTGTAAAAGGAAAAGTAAAAAAACATAGCCAGGGTATCGTATTTTAATTCTTATTCGTAATTTTGTGTTCAACCTTCACAACCGAATTTACACAAATTCTTATGCTCGCGTGGTCTCAGTGAAAAGTGATGGGCATTTACCTAAGCTCTCCAAAAACAGAGAAGCTCTCAGAGGATGGTGAGAACATGAAGCTTAGATATGGGTTATCATCTATGCAAGGATGGCGTGCAACAATGGAAGATGCGGTGAGTAATCACGACTCCATTTGACCTATGCTGGTCATCAGATGTTTGCGGTACAATTTTGTTGAATGTGCCAACTAATCAAATGCTTAGTAATGTCAGTATTGGATTAATTTGGTATATTCAAGAAGATATTTCCTCTGTCCCATAAGACTTTGTTAACTTTTCTTTTTTTGTTTATCCCAAAAACTTTGCCAGTTACCCGTTAAAATAAATAATTTGTGGTTCTACTTATTTCTCTCTCCTCTTCACTACTCTAAACCACACAATTTTTACTTTTCTTAATTCACACCTAACACAAACTTGGTAATGTCTAATGGAACATAGGTAATATGATGTTTTAAGAGTTATTCAGTCTTTTCCTATCAACATGCACAAAATACAAATTATAAAGGCAGCTGTTAGTGTTGTGCTTGTGTAACCGACTAATATCCCAATTGACAAGGCGCATAAGGACACTCCAATTTTGTACCTTTTGAAAATAAGTTTTACAAATGACGGCTTGATCTCAAAGTAAGACCCATGTCCTCTTATTTAGGCAAAATTTGTGTTAATATCCCAAGGCACATAGTGACACTCCAATTTTATACATAGTACCTTTTTAAAATACATTTCACAAATGATGGCTTTATCTCAGAATAACATCCATGCCCTCTTGTTAAGGCAAAATCTGAAGCTATTTTTAAATCTTAATCAACTTCAGGATCATTTTAATGAAATGACTTCTTTGATGGATCATGTTTATTCTGTTTTTTAATAATATTTCATACCACCAGTTTTGTATCTGATGTTATTATTATTGTTTCTTTTTTTAAAAACTATATCCACTCGCATGTGGGCATAATATTTAATCATGCCAACCAAAAGTTACCCTAAAATACTAGCTTTTATTTATTTGTTGTTTGATTGTTTATTTTTGGTCCGCAAAAGTTTAGAAGAGCATATTTTTATAACCATTGTTGTAAATGTGCAATATAAATTATTGTTGAGATGTTCTAAACCTGTGCGTGTCTGTTGGATTCACAAGTTTTACAAACAGTTCTTTAAATTTTTACCACCATTGGTTTAGCATGCAGCAATCCTCGACTTGGACGCTTCCACTTCTTATTTTGGCGTTTATGATGGTCACGGAGGTAACTATATTCTGGCTTATATCATCTGTTAAATTTCTTATTAACTTTAAAGTGGCACATGATGCTGCAGTACGAACTACAGAAGCATGCTATTATCCTAGATAATCCCTTTTAACTTTTTACTGTTTTAACTTTTTTCTTGATTTGCTTCTGATTGTTTCTCCAACCTTTATGGGGTATCACTTGAATGCTTGATTCCAAATGTAATTTTATGCTCCCTTTGTTTAATGTTATTTGTCCCATGCACTATGCTGTTCCAACTCTCATTTAGTTTGTAATTTTATGTACCATTTTTTTGTCATATCCAAATCTGCCTCTTGTGATAACTAGAAGTATAGAACTTTACTTTAGTGTAGCTTTTAAATATGTAAATTTTGATAACTAATGTGAGTTAAACTATTATTTTTGTATAAGTAACTTTACACCAAGTCAAGCCTCATAATCTAAATGAGAAAACTAATTTGGAAAGCAGGAAGTATACAATATTTTCCTTCATTAGCTCCCTCACTTTAATTATTTGATAGTGGTGGCGGCTAATAATAAATCTCTTTATTTTTCTGTATTGCAGAATTCTCTGCTCTTTATACTTTTAATTACAGTTTGGATCTAACCGTCTAACATTAACTTGAGTGCAAGTCCTTACGAGTTACAATACACACGATCTTTTGGTCAATATGCAAAGCTCTTCTAAACAAGTTGCATTTTATTTTGACTCTAATACCTTTTTGCCGTACATGATCTTTTTATTTAATATCATCTTGTTTCAGCAAAATACATTTTTAGTTTGAAAATTATTGTGATCCCCGAAGAACATGGGTTTACTTCTTTGTTCAGTTGTCCTTGGTAAATGGAATGGGAGGATCTGAGAAATAGTGCTACACATATACTCCGTACAACTTAGATATACTTTAGCAATATCCTGATCAATAATGCAGAAACACATTCCTTTTATTAAACTTTGATTGGGAATGTAAAACATATTTTCTGATCTTTTCATATAGAAAGATCTAGAAGGTGATATACTAGAAACGACATGTGTTATGTCAGTGACACCAAAAGGATATTGAAATGAATTGAATTGGGATAGAGATGAAATGGAATGAAATACAGCCAATTTGAGCTTCCCTCTGAACAAGGCATGGAAGGGAGCCACTATGAAGAAGATGCGGGAGTTACGAAGGAATCTTTGAGCTAATAATGATCCTGGGTTGATAATGGGAGTAAACAATGACCAAAGTCCCAAAATCTTATCTAGCCTCATTGAACACCACGATTCTAGTCGTTTATCGTTGACAACTGCTGTGTTGTTGGCCATATAAGGATAATTCTGTTCATCCATGCCTATATTGCAGGGAAGGTTGTGGCTAAATTCTGCGCCAAATATCTTCATCAACAAGTGCTCAAGCATGAAGCATATCTGGCTGGTGATATTGGAACTTCTTTGCAGAAATCCTTTTTAAGGTTGTTTCTTGAGACTTTTTTTGCGGATTGACATTAATTATTTAGATAAAATATGTAATGTTTTTAATTTACTATGTTCTTTACTTGATTATAATATTTTACATATTATTCCCTCCATCCTTTAAAACTTTACCAACTTTGATTCTCACGTGGCCTAAAAAAGTAAAAACCATGTAGCTGAGGTTTGTTCAAAGGAGAGGAAACTAAATTAGCCGCCGTTGAAATAGAGCATATGAACTAAGACATGGAAAGGATTTTCTGTGTATTTCATTGAAGGGTCAAAGCCCTATATATATATATATTACAAATATGGAATATTCCTATATAAGATGCTTTACACTAATAATATCTAGAGTATATTCCTAAAGCATATTCTTATTATTAATATTATAATATAATATCTTTCACACTCCCCCTCAAGTTGGAGCATAGATATTTATCATGCCCAACTTGTTACATAAGTAATCAATCAAATCCCATTTAGAGCTTTAGGGGGGTGTCCTGGATTCAGATTTCACAAGATTTTAAAGGAGTGAGATTTCAATGGATTTTAATGGAATTTGATAGAATCTGTGAAATTCCATGGAATTGGAAATCCTCTCACAATGACTCTGAGAATCAAGCTTCAACCTAGGTTTGTCACCACCATCACGAAGCCCTAGCATCTCTTTCACCGTTTGCTTGCTTCTCCGCTCGCCTGCTTCGCCGACGTTACTTCTAAGCTACGCGGTTTTGCTGTGCCTCTGTCAGAGACCGACAAATTAGTTGCAGAGACCACACCTGACAGCTCCAGGCCTCCGATCCTCGCAGCCTCGCAATGACAATCAGACTTCCCCGTCCTCCGCGGCTCCAGGCCTCCGCGGCCCTGGCTCTTTCTCCAAGCCTCGCTTGAGTTGCAGCAGAAGTAGTTGGTCAGATTCCAGTGAAGTCCTAGGGGGTTGGGCGAGATTGTAGGTTGGAATGTTTCCTTCACATTTTAGCCCAAAAATCCTTCCAAATCCTTAGAAATCCAAGTCTTAAAAAATCCATAGAATTGTTCAGGATATCAGAATTTGGAAGGATTCCATTGAATTCCATATTGAGGATATCAAAACTTAGAAGGATTCTAAGAATCCTCTAAAATCCCGCAGAATTCTAATCGGGGACACCCCCTTTAGTGAATAAATCTCCAAGTTGTTCTCCAATTTTCACATATCCGGTTGAGATCAATCCTTTTTGTATCTTCTCTCAAATAAAATGACAATCAACCTCAATATGTTTTGTTCTCTCATAAAATACTGGATTGTTTGCTATGTGTATTGCACCTTGGTTATCGCACCACAACTTAGCAGGCATTGGTGTTTTCAATCCTATTTCACTTAATAAATGATTTATCTAGATTATCTCACGTGCCGATTGTGCCATAGCATGATATTCTGATTCAACACTCGAACGAGAAGCCACATGTTGCTTCTTACTTTTCTAGGAGACTAGGTTACCCCCGACAAAGACCCAATAACCAGATGTAGTTCTGCTATCATCTTTAGATCCAACCCAGTCAGCATCTGCAAAGCATTCAATTCTTGTGTGATCATGATTTTGATAAACAATACCTCATCCCGGAGTCCCATTCAAGTAATATAATATATGTTCTACAATGTTCCAATGATCAACTGTCGGGGATGACATATATTGACTCACTACACTGACTGAGCACGCAATATCTGGACGAGGCATTGGTGTTTTCAATCCTATTTCACTTAATAAATGGTTTATCCAGATTATCTCACATGCTGATTGTGCCATATCATGATATTCTGATTCAGCACTCGAACGAGAAGCCACATGTTGCTTCTTACTTTTCAGGAGACTAGGTTACCCCCGACAAAGACCCAATAACCAGATGTAGTTCTGCTATCATCTTTAGATCCAACCCAGTCAGCATCTGCAAAGCATTCAATTCTTGTGTGATCATGATTTTGATAAACAATACCTCATCCCGGAGTCCCATTCAAGTAATATAATATATGTTCTACAATGTTCCAATGATCAATTGTCAGGGAATCATGGGTACGCAATATCTGGACGAGTAACTGCAAGATAATTAAGCTTTCCAATCAATCGTCTATATCTTTCCGGATCTTCAAATGCCATACCTTCTTGAGTAAGTTGCACAATGGGAATCATGGGAGTATTGCTCGGTTTTGCCCCCAATTTCCTTGTTTCAGCTAGCAAGTCAAGTACATATTTACGTTGAGACAGAAATATGCCTTTCTTACTTCGTGTTACCTCAATCCCCAAGAAGTATTTTAAAGAGCCAAGATCTTTCGTCTGGAATTGACTAATTCTTAAGGGCCAAAATACCTGTAATCACAATATCATCGACATACACCACGAGCAATGTGATACCTACTTGTGTTTGTCTGTAAAAGACAGTGTAAAAGACAGAGTGATCTGATTGACCTTTTATCATTCCAAGCCTTTCAATTGATTGACTGAATTTTCCAAACCATGCCATAAAGAGACTTGTGAAGTCGACAGACTTTCCCATACTCCCCCTGAGCAACAAATCCCGGAGGGTGCTCGATATAAACTTCCTCCTAAAGGTCATGCAAGAATGCATTTTTTATGTCTAACTGATGCAAGTGCCAACCATGAGTTGCGGCATGTGAAATAAGTAACCTGACAGATGTTAATTTAGCAACAGGAGAAAAAGTGTCAGAATAATCAACACCATAGGTTTGAGCATATCCCTTCGCAACTAATCGGGCTTTCAACCGAGCAATAGATCCATCTGGATGAACCTTGACAACAGAGACCCACTTACATCCAATTGACTTCTTCCCTGTAGGCAAATCTACCAAATCCCAAGTGCTATTAAGATCTAAAACATTCATTTCCTCTACCATGGCATGCCACCATTCATGATGAGAAAAAGCTTCTTTAACAGATTTGGGAATAGAAATAGAATCAATGGAAGCAATAAAAGAACGTGAGGCAAAGGATAGATGACCATACAACACAAAGGAAGAAACATGATGAGTACAAGACCACGTACCTTTACGTAATGCTATCGGGATGTCAAGATCTGATGCAGAGTCAGGATCTGAAGATGCAGGTATTGGGTCAGGACATGAGATCAAAGTCAGGTCAGGATCCGGATAAGTAATCACAGGTGGAAGGTGAACTGATTCTTTGTTCCGGTGGGTGTAAACCAAGTGTACTGGAAGCCTGGGGTCGGGAACAGTAACATGTGATATAGTTATTGAAGGTGTGGACTCAGGTATAGTAACCGTGTAAATGAGTATTTCATCATTCTCCTCATGAATATCTGTCTTGGATGAAATAGAGCATATGAACTAAGAAATGGAAAGGGGTTTCTGTGTATTTCATTGAAGGGTCAAAGCCCTATATATAGATTACAAATATGGAATATTCCTATACAAGATGCTATACACTGATAATATCTAGAGTATATATTCCTAAACGGACCTAAAACATATTCTTATTATTAATATTATAATATAATATCTTTCACAGCCGCATATTAGTTACTTAACTAACTTTGAAGGGAGAGTGACTATGTAATTCAGACAACGAAATAAGGAATGCTGGCAAAGTTTAGTGGGACGGAGGTAGTATATAGCACTTGATGCTAAGGTAAACATGGTTTAGAAATCAACATCACCCTAGTATCATCTAGGTGAGGGCTGGTTAAACTGATCTTACTGTCAATTAGTCATCTAAAGTGAGATAACACTATAGTATCACACTAAAAGCATAGTTGAAAAGTTTATACTGGAAGCCCTTTCTGTTGCAACCTTGCAGCTTTTTAAAGAAGGAATGGTGAGCTGAAATCTCAAAGCTGTCATCATGACATTTTTTTATCCTCTTGCATAGTTGCATGAAAAACATAATGAGGTGTCGAAAGGGGTTAGTCCTTCTTGCAAGGCCAAATATTCAGTAGCAAACCTAAGTAATGAAATGCGCAAAAACAAACTAAAAGGCGCACACATCCTCTTTTCCAAGTTACTGGTTTCATTCTAATATCATTTCCACGCAGAAATGCATTATTGGTTTCAATACTAGTCTTTGTTGGAATCTTGCTTTGACACTTCTGAATCTTAGTTTCACTACTTATATTATGTGTTTATTACTTCCTCCGTTCCACTGAACTTTGCAACTTTCCTAATTTGGTTGTCCCAAAACCTTTTCCAGTAATAAGTTTGTGGTTGTGGTTAATATTATTTTCCTCTCATCTGCACAAACCTCAACCTCACATTTTTCACTTTCTTATTCGACGTGCTAGTCAAATTTGGCCAAGTTTCTCCATTAAGTCTAACCTTGTCTTGTCATGAAGAATGGATGAAATGATGCGTGGACAAAGAGGTTGGAGGGAGCTTGCTATTCTGGGGGATAGATTGATCAAGCTCACTGGTATAATAGAGGGCTTGATATGGTCTTCTAGAATTTCTGAAGGAAATGATCAATTTGATGATTGGGCATTTGAGGAGGTACTTGTGGCTATGACATGAACCATATATTTTAGTTATACAGTCCATGACAAGAATTATGCTCACCATTTTTTTTATTAATGTTATTTTGTTCTTCTACCTGGAGCGGAACCTTTGTTCTTTTGTTCTCATTCTTTCCAGTTGGATGACTTCTAATCATTAGGGACCCCACTCTGATTTTTCTGGACCAACTGCTGGATGTACAGCTTGTGCTGCAATCATTAGAGGCAACCATCTTGTTGTTGCAAATGCCGGTGACTCTCGCTGTGTAATTTCAAGGAAGGGTCAGGTAGTGGATATCCTATGAACACCCCTGAAGATGATTTGATCTACTTGTATGTGTGTGGATATTTTAGATTGACATATTTCTACCTTCTCGTCTTCTCGATACTCGAGCAAGTAACAACATTTGACTTGCACTTGGTGAACTATGCTTCTGAATGGACCCAGATATAGTCACATAGAACAATTTATTAATCAAGGATTTGGTATGCTGTAGATTCGAGTGTTTGAACTGAATTTTCTCTCTTGCAGGCGTACAATCTGTCAAGGGATCACAAGCCTGAGCTTGAGGCCGAAAGAGAACGGATCTTGAAAGCTGGTGGTTTCATTCATCATGGACGAGTGAATGGGAGTCTAAATCTTGCAAGAGCTATAGGTATTATATCTTTGTAATATTATTCTTTTTATGGGTGTGAATACATGTTAGGAGTGAAGATGCAGAACATTTTGTGAAGGGGTTACTATTTTTTTTTTTTTTGCAATAAAAAGATTTAACTAGCATTAATCAAATCATAGTCCAATACAGAGAGAATAAAGGATGGAGGAGTATAAAGCCAAGAATGCAAATCAAACACAGAACAAGCAGCTCTATTAATGGTATGAGCTAGCTTATTCGCTGATCGCCCAACATGAGAAAACGAAATACTAGAAAAATGCTTCGCAATATCTCTAATATCTTCAGTAATTAATCCAACAGAAGAGCAGCTAGAGCCATTAATAATCTCCGAGATAGCACGAGATGCATCAGATTCAACTTCAACATTGGGCCACTCCAAATTCTGCAGCCATCTAAGAGCTTCTCTAATCCCCATTAATTCAGCTTCCAACGGCGATAAACTCCCTAACCACGGTTGAGCAGCCCCGGCCACGAACCTGCCCTCTTCATCTCGTAAGCATCACCCGAACCCACAAGAGTCTGCACGGACAGCAGCATCAGTGTTAAGTTTCAACTTCCCCGCTGCTGGACAACGCCAAGAAGTAACAGGGAGCTGCCTCCCCGGTCGTCCTCCCCCTCGGGCTGACTGTGCCTGCTGCCATCCAACCACGAAAGCTTCTGCTCTGAACATAAACTGCTGCGGTAAAGAGGAAGTGTTCTGCCAGACCCGATGATTCCTTTCACACCAAATCCCCCAACAACCCCAAATCATTTTCATCAAATCCTTCTTCCTCCGAGGATCAGGCCGTCCTCGAAGATACTCCAAACGTTTTCTGCAGAAATTAATCCTCCTTCCATAGGACCCTACCTTCTTGTAACCCCAAGCCCCCACAGCTTTACCGCAAGCCTCTACCTGCCCCATTATACCAAAATCACAGCTGAGCCCCAACTTCTTGCCACAATTTCCCAACAGTCCGCTTCACGAAGCCACACATTCTCAAACTTGAATTTACGTCTCCGATTGGCCCCTGAGATGGAATAACTTTAATGTGAAGAGCCAAGTGATCGCTTGGCGAGCCTTCAAGTGATTCTGCCGTGGCCGCCCAAAAAATATCCAACCTGGTTTCCGTGACTAAAATTCTATCGAGCTTCTCCTCAACCCAGTTTGGAGATCCCCTCCACCGTTCCCACGTGAACTGGTAACCCTGGAAAGCAAAATTATGCAGGCCACATTCCCAAACGGCTTCCCGAAAACCTCTAAGGAGCCAAGACGGATGAGGAACCCTTCCCCTTTTTTCTGATGCGACCATAATATCATTAAAATCTCCCATAAACTCCAGACCCGCCTGAAGATCCGACCCCATACTTAAGGATTTGAGAATCTCCCAAGACTCCTTCCGCTTACTCCTCTTCGGGCAACCATAGAAGCCCGTAAAACGCTAATCAATAGCGCCAACTTCCAGATTCACTTTCGCATCAATATAGTTACTGGATGAATTCAAAATTTGGATTTGAACTCCTTCTCCCCAAATTAAGGCCAGCCCCCCTCTGTGACCAGTGCAATCTACAACAAAACAGTTTGACATCCCCAACTTTCTCATAATGCCTTCCACCCTAGTAAAGTTAGAAAAGGTCTCCATCAAGAAGACCAACGATGGCCGCTTTAAGTGAACCATGTCCACCAATGCTTGAACTGTCGCAGGGTTGCCAAGCCCCTGACAGTTCCAAGTTCCAACTGAGACAACTCATTGCTCTCGGCGGGTCTGGAGTCCAGAACCCGCCGCTTCCCCGTTTTTTTGAATAAGTTAGCTCCATATCCTGTTCTGCCAGAGAGTCGCCCTCAAAGGAAGTACCTGCAGCCTTGCGTTATTTTGTCAATCCCCCATCTGCATGTGAAGAGATTTCCACTATCTCTTCCCCGTCAGCCGGAACAACTGCTGCAGCAACACTTGGAGGTCTGCCGTACAAGAATTTTCCTTCCCCATCCACAAGCCATCTGCTCCACCTGCTCGAACTGCCCTTTCTGTTCCCGGCTCTTAACCAAGGCCCATAAGTTCTTTCCTTTCCGCCTTCCACATATTCAAAACGCCTGGAACACATGCGATCAACATGGTTCATTAAGCCGCATATGAAGCAAAAATGTGGTAGTCTCTCGTATTTCAGATCAACCCAAATAGGTTCCCCTCCGCGTTTCAGTTTCACCCGCCGTTTCAGCAGAGCCTCAACGTCAAGCGACACTCGGACTCGCATAAACTCCTTATAACCACCCTTGAAATTCTGCTCTTCAACTGACACAAAGCGTCCCACTTGATCCCCAATTATCTGGGCAACCCTCTTCGTAAACAACTCGAAGGGTAGGTTGTATGCTTGAACCCAAAAATCTGACCGTGACAGTGATACCTGAATAGGGTTTTCTGCCGGTCGAAGGTTATGCAAAACCAAAAGCGCGTTCTCAAAACACCATGGCCCATCTGCCTAAATCCTCTCAAAAACACATTCATTATAGAACTGGAACAACAATCTATGATCCCCGATTTCACGAATGTTAACACCTCCTCCCGGCTGCCAAACGTCAGCCATGGTGTCTCGAAAATAAGGAAATTTGAAAGGCTTATCTGTGAGTAACTTCCCTACCATGCATAAGGGCTTCCCCGCTGGTACCTCCTCCTGTACAAGCTCATCCAAGTCCACTCCATCGTCGTCGTCATCCTCTAAACTCATACGGGCACAAAGATTTTCCATGTCCTCCGCCATGCAATCGCTAAGCAGCCAAATTGACGTGAGAAAGACTACGTGAAAAGGAAAAAGCGGTGCACGAACCCTAGAATCCTAGGGAGAGAAACTTAGACAACATTATCTAATTTGAGTGTTCGTTGATAGTTATGAAGCACGGGTTACTATTTTTAAATTGCAAGAGTAGCAAAAGTTATACTAATGAAAATACTTGCATGCACTTCTCCTGCAAGATCTATTCTTGCATGCCCTTGGCCAAGCTGTTACCTCTAAGTACTCATGCCATCCCTCTTTTCTAAGAAAACACCTTTAGTTTTGACTAACCTATTGGTATGTGGTTATTTCACAGAATACACAAGAATAGCAACAGTAACAATCTTTTTTAATCTTCACAGGAGATATGGAATTCAAGCAGAATAAGTTTTTGCCAGCTGAGAAGCAAATTGTAACAGCCAATCCAGACATAAATACAGTATGCCTCTCTCTCTCTCTGTCTCTCTCTCTCACACACACACACGGAAGCACACACTTTTAGCATTTAAGTGAAGCCAGTTTTTTGGGCTTCCATTTACTTGCAGAGTTGGAGGCGACATGTTAAAGCCTTTTCAATCTACGTCATCTTAGTTTATGAAGCATAGTGAAAACTTGCAGTGTTTTTTTTCAAATATATGGACATATTTTTGTCTTCACTTGTAAAAAATGTATTTGTCATTCAATGATGCATTCTATAGTTCAATAAACGGGTATTAGCCCTAAATAGGACTAACATTAGCTCAAAATTCAAGAATAGGACTACAATCCTTTTATTTCCCAAACAAGACTAATTTATGTCCCTTCTTACCATTGTACCCCCTTCCTATAATATCTAATAGATTTATTCTATAAATAAGAAAATTATAGTTTTATTTGTAATAAAAATAGAAAAAAATAATAAAATATTTATAAATTAATAATAAAAACTTGAATAAAATAAAATTAACAATAAAAAATAAGAAAATTAAAAAAAAAAATTATTAAGAAAATTATAAAAAGTCTAATAAATAAAATAAATTACCTAAAAAATATTTAAAAAATAGGCCATTGCCACCACGCCCTCCACCTCCCAACACCACCAGCTCCGGTCGCCGGAAAAAATGCCATCTTGTGTAAAATCTTTGAAAATCTCCAACTTTCTTTTCAAAATTGCCATCACGATGGCATTTTTTTTCCAACTTGGCATTCTTTTCCGGTGACCGGAGGTGGCGGTTCTAGAAGGTGGCTGAGGTGGTGGTTGAGGCTTGTATATTTTTTATTTATTTTTTTCGTTTTTTATTTGTTTTTATTTTAATTTTTTAATGTATTTTATTTTTTATGTAAGAAATCCTATTAAGAATGATAAGGGAAAGGGTAGAATAAGAAGAGTTAGTCCTATTTTGGAATTTTTAACTTGAAGCTCCTATTGTTGCAATTTTTCTTTTCTTTAGTCTTATTTAGGGAGGATAAAGGAGGGTGGTGCTGTGGTAGGCGCGTGATGACCAACAGTATCACTTAGTCACATCATATGACATGAATCGAAATATGAATATTCTTTTGGGATTAAGGCTTGAATGTTGTTGTTGTTGTTGTTGTAGTCCTATTTAGGGAAATCTCCCTTTAATAAATTGATATCTTAATAAAAACATTCTGTGGTTAATAAAGAAAAAATGCAACTGTTCCCTTAAATCCTTTGATAGGTCACTATTAATTCTTAACTCAGAACAATGAGAAATCAATGACAGTGAACAAGAACAGATCACACTTTATTCATCAACGTACAAAGATCAAGGAAAGTATACAAGCTTTAGACAATTCGAGATGCCCAATCTCCCAGTCCAGTTCTAGCCAAATAACAGCCTACTCCAGCTAGCTTAGTATTAACTGCCTTACTCCTCTTATAAACTTTGTTATAAAACTGAACCGATTGCTTTGCTCCTTGTCTATCAATACTCCCTCCCTGAAAATTCACCTTGTTCTCAGGGTGAAGCTCAGGAAATTGTTGTTTGAGCATCAACAAGGATTCCCAAGAGTCCTCAAAGCTTGGCAGATTGCTCCAGTGTACCAACACTTCCCAATTCCCTTCTTTGTCAACCCTTGTGTCTATAATATCTTCTGGCACCACCTGTAATTCTAATTCTTCATTTAGACAGCTAGGTAGAGGTTGGTAGAAGGTACTAGGTGAAATAGCCTTTTTGAGCAAAGAGATGTGAAAAACTGGATGTATTTTGCTGTCATCTGGTAGTTTAAGCTTAAAAGCTACTGAACTCAATTTGTCATTTATCTCAAATGGGCAATCCGGCCATAATATCTGATTTATCCTTTTAGCTAAACTCCTTAGCTTGTAAGGCTGTATCTTCAAATAAACCTTCTCTCCCACCTCCAACTGCACCTCTCTCCTGTGCTTATTGGCTTGTTGCCTCATTTGATTCTGGGCCCTTGCCAAGTTCTCCTTTAACTCATCCAATATGATATTCCTCTGAGCAGTCAACTTGGATACTTCTTCTACTGCAGTAAGAGTGACATCACCTCTAATTACTGCAGGGGGATCTTGTCCAAATAGAGCTCTGTAAGGGGTTATTTTCAGGGCTGCATGATAATTGGTATTATACCAATATTCAGCCCAGTGCAACCAGTGAAACCATTTCTTGGGTTTTCTTCCAGTCAAACACCTCAGATATGTTTCAAGGCATCTGTTCACCACCTCAGTCTGGCCATCAGTCTGAGGGTGATAAGCTGTACTATACTTCAACTGAGTCCCAGCCAATTTAAAGAGCTCTGACCAAAATGCACTTAAGAATACACTGTCCGTGTCACTAACTATGGTCTTTGGAAAACCATGTAGTCTGACCACCTCCTTGATGAATACATCTGCCACCTCATTGGCATTGTAGGGATGTGATAAAGCCACAAAATGAGCATACTTAGTCAGCCTGTCCACAATAACCAAAATAGTATCCTTCCCTTGTGATTTAGGCAATCCACCTTTAAAGTCCATAATAATGTCAGTCCAAATATTATTGGGAATAGGTTGAGGCTGTAACAATCCTGCAGGTTTTAGAGCTTGATACTTATTAGTCTGACAAATCACACATTCTTCAACATACTTCTTAATATCTTTCCTCATTCCATGCCAAAAAAAAGATTGGAAACTCTTTTCATGGTTCTAAAATAACCAGAATGCCCCCCAATGGCAGATTCATGATCTCCCTGTTCCGATCTCCCTCCGGACTGTACGGTCAAGTTGTCTTCGATATCTCTAGACAACTCCATAGCAGCTTCCAAATCAGCCGGCCGTAGGATCCTTAAGGAACTGCGAATGGTGTCTGTAGCCCTTTCATAAAGTACCCCAAGTAGTGGGCATCACTCAAACCTAGGACTTGACTGGCTAATTGCACGAACATATTCACATAGTCATCCATGGATCCTGTCTGTTTAATGTTGGCCAACCGTTCGAACGTGCTTCCTTTGAACCGAGTATCAAAACGGGCTACAAGGGCTTGTGAAAACTCCTCCCAGGCTATGTCTGGTTTCCGCGACCGTGTCCAAGAAAACCAGTACAGAGCAGGACCCTCCATTGCTACCATGGCTGATGCCACCTTCAACTCAGGTCGGGTCTGATGGATTTCAAACTGCTGATTGGCCCTGGCGAGCCATCCAATCGGGTCTGCCCCCTCAAACGCTGGTAGCGTCAGAGGCGCGGTCACAGACCTAGGATTGTGGGAGTTCTGCGAATCAGCCGTGCCTCCTCCCCCCGACTCAGAATCGGCCAACGGTTCCCCCGACGCCATAACCTTCTGCGCCAGCTTGTCTAGGGTTCTGCCCTGATGTCATTCTGCTCCGCTTCTATCGCATCCATGCGTTGATCACTGGTGGAACGAGTCATGATGAATGTAGGGTGGTGGATAGGATCCGGCAGGTCGGACCAAATTGATAGAAGCAGAAAACCCTAGCAGACGATATTAACGTCTGCCCCAGCCTTAGGCTCAAACCAAATCTTTATTCTCAATAATCAATAATAGTTCACAAGATCAGACCTCCTTAAATACTCCTTAACCTAATAATAAAATATGGCCATCTAGGCCCAGTAACCTAATAATAAAATATGGCCATCTAGGCCCAACAGTTTATTAGAAATAACAATTGAATGAAAGTAATAAAACCCAGCAGTCAACCCAGCCCAATTAGGTCCACTGACAGCGACAGTAAACTAATAACGGGCGAGGCCCGTCCTCCTGAAGCATCGGCCCAGTTGCCTACTCCTAGAGCCTCGGCCCATCTGCCTCCCACTCCCTAACAAAAACAGTCTTTCTTTAGAAGTTGTGTAAGGGGTAATGCAATTTTACTGTACCCCTTAACAAACCTTCTATAGTAACCTGTCACCCCTAGAAAACCCCTTAACTCCTTCAAGGAAAACTTAGGTTCTGGCCAGGTAACCATGGCTTCTATATTGGTAGGGTCAGCTCTTATTCCTTCTCCAGAGATGATGTGCTCTAAGTAGATCATTTGAGACTGCCCAAATGAACATTTCTTTGGGTTAATCACCAACTGATTATCCCTCAAAGCAGCTAAAACTGCTCTTAAATGCTCTTTATGTTCCTCTATGGATCTACTATAAACCAAGATATCATCAAAAAATACTAAGGCACAATTTCTCAAATATGGCCTTAATACTTGATTCATTAGAGCTTGGAAAGTAGAGGGTGCATTTGTCAAGCCAAAAGGCATAACCAAGTATTCATAATGTCCCTCGTGTGTTCTAAAAGCTGTCTCCTTCCTATCCTCTTCCTTCATTCTGATCTGGTGGTAACCAGCATTTCAAATCCAGTTTAGAAAATATTTTTGCTTCCCCAAGCTCATCAAGTAATTCTTCTATGACAGGAATCGGGTACTTATCTGGAATTGTAATCTTGTTTAAAGCTCTGTAATCTCCACAAAACCTCCACCACCATCTTTCTTCTTGGCTAGGAGTATTGGACTGCTGTAAGGGCTATTGCTGTTTTGTACGATTCCAGAATCTAGCATTTCTTTCACAATCTTTTCAATTTCAGTCTTTTGATATTGAGGATATCTATAAGATCTAATATTAGGTATATTAGCTCCTTCTTGGATGTTGATGGAATGATCACAACTCCTGCTAGGAGTTAGCCCCTTCAAAGGTTGAGCTACCTCTGGAAATTCTGCTAGAATATGCCTCCACAAAGGTTCCAGTTCTCCATCATTCTTCAGTTCCAATGTACTACCTTCACAATATACAAAATAACCATCTCCATTGTCGTGTAATATTTGTGAAATAGTTTTCAATGAAACTTCCATGGAATTCAATTTTGGATCTCCCTGGATTGACATACCCTGACCCAACTGTTCCCACTTGATAGTTTGTTTCTGGAAGTTAATTTCCACATCTCCAAGACTAGTAAGCCACTCCATACCCAATACCACATCTGTACCTCCCAGACTGAGGATGTAAAAATCCTGTTTGATGTCTGTACCTTGTAAGCTCAATGTCAGATCCTCACACCTTCCATTGTTAGTAATCTGTTCTCCATTTCCAGTCTGTACTTTGTATCCAGATATAATGTTGAAAGGTAACTCCAATTGCTCAACCAACTTCTGAGAAATAAAGTTGTGTGTGGCCCTAATATCAATCAGCACCTCTACTTGTTTATCTCCTTTGCCCCATCTCAGATTTCCCCTTACTTTGAAAGCTCTCATAGTTGGTATACCTTCATTGCTCATGAGTGATACCTGCATAGATTTGGACTCCATTCCTTCTTCATTCTTTGTTTCAATGTCTGACTGATCTTCCTCTTCAGAACTTTCTTCCTCATCTGAGTCTTCCACCAACATAAGTTTATAATGTTTCAGCTTGCATGTATGTTCCTTGCTCCATTTATCACCACATTTAAAGCACAGCCCCTTTCTGCTTCTTTCCTGAAATTCTTCTTGAGATAATTGTGGTCCAGTTCTTCTGATTCCAGAAGGATGAATTTCAGTAATCTTCCTGCCAGCCTTGTCAAAGTGTCAAACCAAGAGTTATTAGTCTTGTTATCTGCAGCACCTTTATTCTGATTTGACCAAAAATTGCCAGATTTGGCCTTATCACCTTCTCCCCAAGTCTGAGCTTTCACTGTTGCAGGTCTCCTTTCTCTCCCAACTATCTTATCATCCTCTTTACTCTTTCCTCTTCAAATATATGGTATCATTTTTCTGCTCAATGAGTATAGCTTTATCCATGATTTCAGACAAAGATTTTGAAGCATACAATTTCAATTCAGATTTAATGTCATCCTTCAAACCTGTAATGAAAATTCCTCTCAACAATTCCTTGTCCATGTTCTGCTGAGGTGCCATCACCATTTCAAACTCCTCTCTATATTCCTTCACGGATCCAGTTTGCTTCAAACTGAGTATAGGTCCGTAAGGATTTTGAATCAACTCAGGCTGAAATCTACGGATGATAGATTTCTTTAGAGCGTCCCAATTAGTTTCCTCAGTTTGATTCTCCTTATCTTCCATAGCAACCATAGAGGCTTTAATTTTCTCTTCCTCCTCGATATGATTTAACCGAAATACCTCTCCATACGTACTATCCAGTTATAAGCTCCTTCGCCATTAAACAGAGGTAGATCTATTTTTCTACCAGAATGCACAGATATTCTAGCATTTTCATCATTACGTCTATGATTACGAACATTTGAGTGCACAGAATTACCTCTGGAAGCAACAGGACTGTTCGAAGTTCTCGTATGCGGTTGCTGTGGTGTTCGCGATCTTCTTCTGCTCTGATGTTCTTCATTCAGCGCCGCTAAAGATGCGATAACAGTATCCAATGCAGATTTCACCTCCTGATAATTACGCTCCATAGTTTCCATCCTATTCTCCATTTTTCCTCTTGTTCTAACCATTCACAAGTCGAACAGGAAGTTTCCGATGATGTGCCAATCTTCTGATCACGAGCGATGATTCTCCAGAATCGTATGCTCTGATACCAATGATAGGTCACTGATAATTTTTAACTCAGAACAATGAGAAATCAATGACAGTGAACAAGAACAGATCACACTTTATTCAACGTACAAAGATCAAGGAAAGTATACAAGCTTTAGACAATTCGAGATGCCCAATCTCCCAGTCCAGTTCTAGCCAAATAACAGCCTACTCCAGCTAGCTTATTAACTTTCTATTTATAGTAAAAGTCCACGCAAGGACACGCGACTACTGAACCAACAGACTAGTTAGTTATTAGTTAATATTAACTGCCTTACTCCTCCTCCTTTTATAAACTTTGTTATAAAACTGAACCGATTGCTTTGATCCTTGTCTATCATCCTTAATAGTTAATATCCCCCTGTTTGTTGCATTTTCTGTCAGTTGTAATATTTACCATGTCTTTTGAATGCCTACAGTTTTCCCTTGTCAAACTCTCCGTCTTGTGTATGCTTGTTTGCTGCTATAGTTGTTCTATTTGGGTAGAGTAGACTGCACATACTTTTCAGGGAGGAAAGTTTTCGTGCAGTTGTTCACACATTCCTATCAATGGATCCACTATGCACAAAACCAATGTGTTCTTTAGGGATATATTTCTGTCCAATGTCCACTGGGCGGAGGCATTTCCTGTTTTTATAAGTTTTCTGTGTGTGCTTTCTTTTTTTCCTGTGTTTCCACTCAGTCTGACTCATAATACTTCTCTGTTGTATGAAAAGTTATTTTAATGGAAAAGGAGCACGCCTTAAGTGAATACCATGGCAATGCTCCTCACCAGTCTTTACCGACCATGCCTCATAAAAGTGCATTAACAAAAGGCACACGCACAAATTTATTTATTATTACCCGTCCCATTGGACATTGCACAATTTGAATTAGGTGAGAAATAAGAAAAATAAAAATTGTATAGTTGAAGTTTGAGCAGAGGAGAGAGAAATGAATAGACCAGCAAATTAGTGGGAAAGTGGCAAAGTTTTTGTGACAAGTGACAACCAAAAAGGGAATGTTGGCAAAGTCCAATGGGACAGAGGGAGTAATATTTTTTCCAATTTTGTTCCAGGTTGAGTTGTGTGATGATGATGATTTTATGGTGCTAGCTTGTGATGGCATATGGTATGTGCCTTAAATTGCTCTTCTTTTTCATTTAGACTTTTTCTTTTATGAAAATAACTAGAAAGGATATGACTGAGCGTCTGAGCTACAAAGTAGAATGTGCACGATAGTCCAAATATCAAGATTCTGAAATGTCTAATTTCCAAGAAAACGTTAACCCAAAATAACCTTTGAAATGCGGAACTTGTAGAATGCTAACTGTTGATAAAATGAAGAGACATCATTAATCTAGGATTTATTTTCCTTATTATTACTGTAATTATGTATCTTTAGTGCTTCAGGTTGTATTTAATAGCTGCTGTCTTTTCAGTTCTCAATCATTTATGTTTAGTATTTAGACAGTCACCTAGGGTGCTGAATAGACTCTCTCAGGATTCCTATCTGTATAAATAGCTTATGTACTTCTTGTAAATGAATTCAAGGAAATAATATTCAGAAAACTTCATGGTATCAGAGCTTGGTTTCGTCTAAGCCTTTTTTGAGTCAGTCTATCACCTCTCCAACGGTCATTTTTTGGGTGTCTCTACCCTTCTCTCTCTTTAACTCCCGGTGGAGTCTCTTCATCAAGGGTTTTATCATGTCTAAAGAAGCCGAATCAGCCTCAAGTAACCTTGATCACTCAACCATTGTTTCAGCTGCTACTGCAGCCGCGTTTGCTCTTCGAAACCAGAAATTTGATCTCCCTTCTATCCCGCCATCTTACCGTCTCAATGGCAGGAACTATCTTGGGTGGTCAAAGCTGGTTTACACTCTTCTACGTGGCAAAGATCTTGAAGATTATCTCACTGTCTCTACCCCAGAAGAAGGAGAGATTGATGCTGCTATTTGGGAGAAAACTAATGCCAACGTACGGGTCTGGTTATGGGACTCTATGGATCCCAACATTAGCAGTACATGTTTATACATGGACTCGGCTAAAGAAATCTGGGATTTCATACAGCAGTCCTACTCTGTTGCTAAAGATGGCGCTTTTGTCTATGACTTATGGCTCAAAACAACGAATCTTAAGCAAGATTCACAATCTGTCACAGATTATGCAACTGACCTCCAACGACGATGGTCTGAACTTGACCAGTATCAAACGATGAAGTGGTCGAATGCTGCAGATGCAGGTCTTCACAAGAACTATATAAATCAGCAACGTCTATATTGCTTCTTGTCTGGTTTAAATCCCGAATATGATCAGACTCGGGGTCAAATTCTTGGCATTACTCCTCTGCCTTCCATATCTTCTGCCATTGCCACTATCAAACATGAAGAGAGCAGACGCAATATAATGATGAATACAAATCTGATTGACAGTACAGCTCTTGCTGCCAAATCTACTCCTTCAGATGTTAAGGAAACTAAGGGTAGTAAGGGAGGAAGATGGTGTGATCATTGCAAGCGGTCCAACCATAATGTGGATACATGCTGGAAACTTTATCCTCATCTACAGAAAGAAAGGAAAAGCCAAGACAGACGTGGAATGAGTGCTGGACGTGCCAACTCAGTCACTCCCACTATTGTTGAGAGCTCTACTAATCTTTGGCCCATTTCCCAGGAGGAATTAAAGCAAATTCGTATGATGTTACAGTCTCTTAATAACTCAAATGGTTCTGGTCATAGCTCTTTGGCCCTGCAAGGTAAAACCTCTACTATTTTTTGTCTTAATGCTTCGGAACAGAGTTCACAATCCCAATGGATATTAGACTCAGGTGCCACATCTCATATGACTGCCATACCCTCTTTACTCTCTAATTATCATCCATGTTTTACATCCACGCACATTACTACTGCTGATGGGACACCTACAAAGGTTGCGGGACTTGGTACGGTTGTTTTTTCTGAAAAATTAAATCTGAAAAACACCCTACATGTCCCAAACCTGGCTATGAACCTTGCTTCTATTTACAAACTCACAGTTGATCTTAATTGTGCTGCCATTTTTTTCCCTTCCCACTGTTTATTACAGGATCTACACACGGGGAGGACGATTGGAATTGCTAAACAAAGAGATGGCCTGTACTACCTTGATGCACTGTTTGTCTCCAAACCTCCACAAAAAGCTCTTACCACAATCACAGCCAATACCAACACTATTTGGCTTCACCACAAGCGTCTTGGTCATCCCTCTTTTCATGTCCTAAAAACCATGTTTCCCAGTCTTTTTAGTAGTATTGATGTTTCTACATTTCAATGTGATGTCTGTGAACTTGCTAAACAGTCTCGTGTATCTTTTTCCAGAAGTAATACAATCAGTTGTTCTCCTTTTGATATTATACATAGTGATGTCTGGGGTCCTGCTCCAATTGCTAATATATCTGGTGCCCGGTGGTATGTTACATTTATTGATGATTGTACACGTTTTATGTGGGTTTTTCTGCTAAAAAACAAGAGTGAGGTGAGTTCCATCATTCCTATCTTTTGCAATATGATTCATAATCAGTTCTCCGCCACAATAAAACGCTTCCGCACTGATAATGCTCTTGAATACTTCAATCAAACCGTTTCCTCTTATTTCCTCTCAAAAGGCATTGTTCATGAGTCCTCTTGTCCGTACACACCACAACAGAATGGCACAGCAGAAAGAAAAAATCGCCATCTCCTAGACGTCAGTCGGGCTTTATTGTTTCAATCAAATATGCCTAAACACTATTGGGGGGAAGCCACACTCACAGCATGTCATCTCATCAATAAAATTCCCAGTCGGGTACTCCAAAATAAGTCACCCCTTGAATCTCTCCGTCATTTCTTTCCTCAAACCAGAATTTCTTCTGATCTTGATCTAAGGGTGTTTGGGTGTACTGCATTTGTTCATATTCCTCCACCTCATAGGGGAAAATTGGACCCACGATCTATTAAATGTATCTTTCTTGGTTATTCTCCAACTCAGAAAGGATATAAGTGCTATAATCCTACAACCAGAAAGACATACACCAGTGCAGATGTGACCTTTCACGAAGACACACCTTTTTACACTCCTACTTCTCTCCCTGTATCCCAAGATACTCCACATCCTTCACCTCTGCCCACCTATACTATTACATCTTCTCCACCACATACAATCTCCTACCCTCCTAAGCCTTTATCACCAGACATCCCATCACCACCACCACCACATGATCATCCATCACCTTCCTTAGATGTGTCAGCAACCTCACCTACTTCCCAACAGTCTTCAACATCACCTGAACCTCAATCAAATACACCACCAGATCATCCCATTCCTACACCTACTAAATCCACCACTCATGACCCATCTTCTCCTCTACCAGTGACAAAAGTGTACTCAAGGAAAAACAGGTTCACTCCATTGTTGACGCATGACCAATTGGCTGACCCAGGTAATGTCTCTTCTTCTCCACCACCATCTCCGCCAATTGCTTTACGCAAGGGTGTACGTCAATGTACCAAAACACCTCTATACCCTCTTGCTAATTTTGTTACCATTGATAACTTCTCTCCTTCACATGCCTTGTTTGTTCAGAGACTTAATGAAATTCCCATACCCAACTCTGTTTCTGAGGCATTAGGAAAGAAAGAATGGAGGGATGCTATGCAAGAGGAAATTAGAGCTCTTGAAAAGAACCATACTTGGGATATTGTGACTAAACCTCCTGGGAGGCATGTTGTTGGTTGCAGGTGGATCTTTACTGTCAAATACAAGGCTGATGGATCTCTTGAGCGGTACAAAGCTCGTCTTGTGGCTAAAGGATACACTCAGACGTATGGGATTGACTATCAAGAGACCTTTGCTCCTGTAGCTAAGCTCAATACTGTCCGTATCCTACTATCCTTGGCATCTCACTTTGATTGGCCTTTATTGCAATTTGATGTCAAGAATGCTTTTCTCCACGGTGACTTGCATGATGAGATCTACATGTACATTCCCCCAGGCTTTAATAAAACATCAACAAGAACCTCTACACATGTATGTCATTTAAAAAAAGCCCTCTATGGTCTCAAGCAATCCCCTCGTGCTTGGTTTGACCGCTTCACACAGGTTGTTCTTGCTGCTGGGTATAGTCAAAGCCAAGGGGATCATACTCTTTTTTACAAACACTCTCGCCCAAATGGAGTCACTATTCTTTTGGTATATGTGGATGACATCATTGTGACGGGTAATGATCCAGTTGAGAAACAACGTCTTGAGGGGCAGCTGAAATCCAAATTCGAGATGAAGTCTCTTGGCCCTCTAAAATACTTTCTTGGAATTGAAGTTGCTCGCTCATCTGAAGGCATCTTTATCAGCCGACAAAAGTACATTACAGATTTGTTAAATGAGACCGGTAAGAGTGCTTGTCGACCGGTTAATGCACCTATGGATCCTAATCACAAGCTTGGACTTGCTACTGATGAACCCAAGGTTGATTCATCAATGTATCAGCGCTTGTGTGGCAAACTTATCTATCTCTCTCATACTAGACCTGACATTGCCTATGCAGTTAGTGTTTTGAGTCAGTTCATGCATGATCCAAGGAAACCACATCTAGAAGCAGCCTATAGGGTTCTTCACTACCTAAAAGGAAGTCCAGGGCAAGGGATAATATTCAGGAAGGGTGGGCAATTATCAGTCCAAGCCTTCACTGATGCAGATTATGGTGGCTCCCTCGTTGACCGCCGGTCAACTACTGGTCTCTGTGTTTTCCTAGCAGGAAACCTCGTGACATGGAGAAGCAAAAAACAGAATGTTGTGGCACGATCATCTGCTGAATCTGAGCTAAGAGCTCTTGCCCATGGCTTATGTGAACTTCTATGGATCAGAATTATTCTCTTAGATTTACGAATCAAGTGGAAAGGACCAATGGAATTGAGGTGTGATAACAAATCAGCAATCAACATAGCTCATAATCCAGTCCAACATGATCGGACCAAGCATATTGAGATTGATAGGCACTTTATCAAAGAAAAGGTTGAAGGAGGTCTGATCGAACTAAGCTACACTCCCTCAGAAGATCAAGTTGCAGATGTGTTTACCAAACCTCTGCACAGTCCTAGGTTCCAGGGTCTTATTGTCAAGCTAGGCATGACGGATATCTACAAACCTAGCTTGAGGGGGAGTGTTGATAAAACGAAGAGACATCATTAATCTAGGATTTATTTTCCTTATTATTACTGTAATTATGTATCTTTAGTGCTTCAGGTTGTATTTAATAGCTGCTGTCTTTTCAGTTCTCAATCATTTATGTTTAGTATTTAGACAGTCACCTAGGGTGCTGAATAGACTCTCTCAGGATTCCTATCTGTATAAATAGCTTATGTACTTCTTGTAAATGAATTCAAGGAAATAATATTCAGAAAACTTCACTAACCTCATCTTACATAGCTACATGAGCTTTGGTAAACATTGTCCTTGTTTAGCGAACAACTCTTTGGTGAAATTTTAGCTATTCTAATCAATATTAGGGGTTTGACCTTGTTAACAAGCTAGTGCTTGTGTTCTAAGTGGCACAAAATGCGAAATGGGGAGCGAAAAAAAGATAAACACAAGTAACTGTATTAAAACAAGGGTATGAAGCACCTAAATATAATACTCTGTACATAATACAGGAATATATTTATATAATCTTTAGTACTTTGCTTTCTTGTTATATATATCCTACTTACCTGTGCACTTGATACTTTAAATATATTCATTTTTTTTCTTCCAAATAACGTTTCCACACTATCTTGCTCGTCTTTCCGGGGGGTCTCCACTATAACAGTCTTTCTACTCTTAGGGATAGGGGTAAAGCCTTCTTATCTCACCCTTCCTGGAATTTACTTCCAAGGTGAATATACTGGGTATCCTTGAGACTATTTAGTTTGGTTTGGTAAATTTTGGGTGTTATTATGATGAGAACTGCAACTTAATAAGGTTTCAAAAGACGGGGTAAATTTTGAGTTTTGATACTAAAATAATAGGAAAACGAGTGGTTGTAATATATTGGGTCCGCTAGGGTTTAAAAGTAGTTCACTCAATGTATAATTATGCTTTTGAATTATTAGTATCTAAAATCAGAACATGGTTCTTACCTTTTAATTTTGAAATTCATATGTCTAGATGTCTCAGACTTCTTAAAGTAATTCTTCTCTTTCTCTGCAGTTGAGAGAATAAAGATGGGATATTAAATGATATCTGCGTCATGATTTTAAAAATATAGAATATTATTCCAAGTGTAGTGAACATTCAGTGTACCATTACTTATTTTACTTTTTAATGTATATAACCAAAATTTGAGCTTCATATCATTGGCATGATGCAGAATGTGATCACTGTACTTGTGCTGTTCTATTTCAGGGATTGTATGTCAAGCCAGCAACTGGTTGATTTTGTCCATGAGCAGCTGCATTCCGTAAGTGCTATAGAATTGCCTATTCATTCATTGACTAGATAAAAATTAGAATTTAAACACGGTTGACGTCACCTGTCATAAATTTCCCCAACTTTACCCAAACTTGAACGCGTCGCCACAACATATACATTTATTATCTATTCCTTCTTTTATTCAATATTTCTATTGATGGTATTTATACAACAACAACATCCAAGCCTTAATCCCAAAATAATTTGGGGTCGGCTAACATGAATCGATCAATGATATCGATGCCAAGCAGAGAAGATGGACAAGAAAGAGAAGAAAAAAAGTAAGATAAAACGAATAAAATAAAGATAAATAAAAGATAAAATTGATGGTATTTATATATATTAAAAATGATAGACATGAAGGAAGTTAGTGTTAGGGTTATTAGAAAGAAATGCACATAAGTTAGGGGGATTATGAAGAGAAAGACACTAAAGAATTTGAGTTAAGCTAGTGAGTGACTCACAAGCTGGAAGGACTCAATATAGATGCGATGGTGATACAAGAGGAAGGATCGAGCGGTAACAGCAATAGGAAAATTGGAGATGTATATATGAACTCAGATTTATGTTCAATTTATCCAAGTGTTTGAATTTCGGTAGTGTAACTGTGTAATTATATCGTTTCATGTTAGCCGATCCCAACCTCTTATGGGATCAAGGCTTGGATGTTGATGGTGTTGTAATTGTGTAATTATATAAATAACTTATATGGAAAGCAAGGTGATGAGAATTACACTGAATGGCTTCATAGAGTGGATTGGGTTGAGGCTCGAAGAAGGAAGAATTTTGAGAAGTGTGATCGTAAACAAACAAAGAAAGTCAATATTAAGAGTGAGGGAAACTTTAATAAAAGTAGGGAGACACGCTCAAGTTTGGGTCAAGTTGGTGAAAAATTTGGGCATTTTGGCGCTTGCTTTATTTAAATTAACCCATACGTTGACAGTCTTTTTTTAAATCAAAATTTTAAACACCTTAATTTACCAATTTTGTAATTCGGCCGGCAAGAATCTACCAAGTACCAACAACGTAGTCTACTTCCCCATGTGGAATTATTTAGGTTGAAATATGTTTTAGTCCCTGCAAATATAGTATATTTTGTTTTACATCCTTGCAACTTTTTTTTGGGTTTTTATCCCTGAAATTTATGTTTTTCTTTTTGGTCCATGGGAATTCCATGACCGATGATAACAACCTCCGTTTGACCTCGAAAAAAACTTGAGTAATAGGTTTCCTCTAATTCTTTGTCATGTTATTCAAAAAGTACTAATTGTATTTTTAGAAAGTTTTGAATACATATTTTTAAAATGTGAACTATCAGTTTGCATTCTTTGAACTCTCATATTAGCCTCATATTTTTTTAAAAGGATAAATTTAAATATTCCTAGTAGATTTAGACAACTTACAATAACTTTTGGAGTTAGTGTTGGACTAAATATAAAATAATGCATATGATAGGGATGAAAAAACAAAAAAAAAACAAAAAAACATTTTGCAAGGACAAACACAAAGTGTGTTATATTTGCAGGGACTTTAAGAGTATTCAATCCAATTATTTATTGTCAATTTTACTAGTTATGATGTAGTGAATTTGTTTAATGACCGTATTGGTGTAAATCTTGGGATCAAAATAGGAGTCTTTCTCCTTATTTAGGCGCTTAAAAGTCAGTATGGAGCTTGGAAAAAGCCAGGGAAATGAAGTAGACTGGAGTTTTGGAAGAAAAGGAAATTTAAGGACATGTTTTTTGAAACTGAATTAACCTACAAGCTCAAACTAATTTTATATCTATATTTCTACTGCCTCTGTCCCACAATTAAGTTTGACTTATATATTTTCTACGGCAAAACTAAACATAGAAAATTACTTTCCATGTGACTTTTCTCCTCATTCCCCTACAAATTTACGTGTTCCAAACACAGTGTAACTTGATTGACTGTGCAGGAAAGCAAGCTTTCGGCAGTGTGTGAAAGAGTTTTCAATCGGTGCTTGGCACCGTCTACTACTACAGGAGAGGGCTGTGACAACATGACGATGATAGTTGTGCAATTTAAGAAGCCAATCCGTCGGGGATCTGATGAGTTAGCTGATTCCGATAAGAAGTTGCCAGAAGTGGCTGATAGATCTGATGGTGAAGCTGCTGAATCAGTTGGTTGCGGATCAACCTCATGACATGAGTATGTTATCATGTCTTGTTTAGAGTCATTTTGAACTTCTAATCTGGAACTTGTGCATGAATGAAGGCTTCTTCTTGTGGTGCTCTTTGTTACCGCAATGTACTTTAACAATGGAAATGATTTGTACATAAAAATATCATAGAGGATGTTCGACACTATTTTACTCTCTTCGTTCTATCATTGTAAAAAAACGTTAAAAAGCCAGAGAAGATGAAGCAGACATAATATGTCTTTTGTCATGATCGTAGACTTGTAGTTGCCAAAAATAAAAAGTTGAGCAAGTAATAATATTACATTTTATACAAGTAGGCATGGACCATTTCCGGTCTGCCTGGCCCGGGAACCGGCCCGGTCCGGTTGCCTGGTACAAGGCCCAGGCCTAGGACCTGACCCAGGGATGTTTTGGGAGCGGGCTCGGGCTGCAGGGTTCTTTGGAACCCGAACGGCCGGACCGGGCCAATTTTTTTTCTCAATTTGGGTGGTAGGCGGGTTGCGTGGGTGTTTTGGATTGGTTTGGGATGGGGGTAGCAATTAATTAGAAAAGCAAAAAAAAAACCGCTACCCGACCTGGCCTGGTCCTGGCCCGGTCCCGGTATAATCCTGGGCCGGTTTCGGGCCTTAACCCCCAATAAAAAAGCCCGGTTTGGACTGGCCTGGAGTCCGACCCGGAATCGGTCCATGCCTATATACAAGTGGATCAATTAAAACTGAACGAAAGTAGCGTGTAAGTGTATATATTTTGAAGTCCTCATGTCATCAAGTCGGAAAAGGGTCAAAAGGCTAAGCCGCTAAGGGCGTCTTTTTGCATTTGTTTTTCTCTCTTTCTTTCTTTTTTAACCCGGGTTTTTGTTTTACTTAAGTAAGTATAAGTTTGCAACACATATTACTAAAAGATGACATTTAAAATTCACTCCAAGAAAATAGGGATGGACTAAACCGGGCCGGGCCGGCCCGCAACTGTGCGGGCCCGGATCGGACCGGGACCGGTTGGCCGGTTCCGGGCTTTTAGCCCGTTTGGGCGGGTCGGGCGGGCTGGGCTCGGACCCAGTTTTGGGCGAACCGGCCCGGGTCAATTTTTTTTTGTTTTATCAATTTTTTTTCTTTTCCTAGGGTAGGACTGGGTGTTTTGGGGAGGTTTAGGGGTGGGGGGCGCGGGGGATAACAAGAAAGCAAAAAAAAAAATTAGACATTGAACCGGGCCCGGCCTGGCCCGGCCCGGACCCGGTATCAACCCGGGCCGGTTCTGGGCCCAAGGATTTGCAAAAAAAGCCCGTCCGGGCCCGGCCCGGAACCGGAACCGGACCGGCCCGGGTCCATCCCTACAAGAAAACATGTCTTAAATATTATGGCCACAGTCCATCTTGGCCTCTTGGGTTAGAAGACAAGACAAGTGATTTTTATTTTAAATAAATCGCACAAATTATTCATAGTAATCTGGTATGAAATCTTAACCCAAAACACTCAACTAAGAATTAAGAAAATTGTTATGGAAAGGATGGGAGTGTCATCCTTCTTTGGTTAAGAAATCAAAATCACAGGAATCTATTTCTCTTTATTAATTTAAAACCTCTTTAACTAAATACAACTGTGGTACATTTATAGGAATTAAATAAAATGGTATCATGATTCATGATCAAGCTTCCTTGTTAAAACAATACTACTCTCTCTAAAAAAACTCAGTCCATTAGGTTTCTAACTATCACATTAAGTTTCTATTAAATGTATGCATTCCCCTCTTTTTCCATTGTCACACTTCTTCAATTACAGAAAATAATAAAGGAGTACATTAATGTTTCATATTGGCTTCAATCTAGTTTTCTGCAATGCCAAGTGCCAACTAATTAAATTAGTTTAGTACAGCAATGATAAATTTGATATTGATGAATAAATGGAAAATATAAAGCTAAATAGCAAAGGAAACACAAACTAATATTGATATATAACACAATATTGCCAAGCAATTTATGGAGAGTTCTTGAACCATGTGGATCAACTATGGAAGAGTCAATAATGGAGCATAATATGTTCAAATTCACTCCAATTTATGACAATGTGTTTAAAAGAGCATGTTGTTATTTTGCCATGAGCAGAGGGATATATGGCAGGCCCTGATTCATCGAAATTTTAAAAATTATTTAAAAATTATTATGAAACTCTTTATAGCATATATTTTTTTTTTGAAAATTCTGTATATCTGCCCTGCTTAATTTAGGCCTCTGGATACGCCACTGGGCACTTTTATATGCTCACCATAATTAAAATTTACTTATATTCTTTCGGTCCCTTATAATTTTTTCAATATTCATTTTCTAATTGTCCCACCACTAACTTCACTACTTTTCTTTTAAAATAAAAAGTTGTGATTCCTGTTAATTTTCTCTCTATATAAATCTCAATTATACAATTTTTACTTTATCATTATACACGCCAATCAATTTTGGTAAAATTATAAGCGACAAAAGAAATGCTAGTATGAATTAATTTTGCAAGAAATTTGTAACGAATGACTTGATTAAAATAATGCTGGAAGTTAGCTTTGTTAAATCGCCATTATTACTACAAGTTTATCAGGTTTAATGCATCAAGCTCACTTATAATATACTATCCTCCGTTCTTTAAAAATTGCAACAACGTGACTTTGATATTTGCCAATGTATAATACTGACTGTAATTATATTAAATTATGTATTGGTAAACATTATAAAAATTAATATTTTGAAAATTTAGTTTAATAGAAATTTAATAACATTTTATACATAATAGTTTGATCAAATATATTGGTAGAAAACCGTATTCAAAATAAGACGTGTAAGTAATGCAAAAATCCAAATGTTGGTACCATTAAAGAATTGAGAAAATATGTAATAAAAAATTGAAAAAAGATTTATACATAAATATTATAACACAAGATAATTTGACGCAATTTTAAATTAGGAAATTTTAAATTAGGAGGCTAATGTGCCAAAAATCACTGGTTTGATCATGTGTATCGGTAGGTAACTGGGTTGTTCATTTTGAGTATTTCTACAGGTGCCAAAAATAGCCTTGTAACATACTAGTGCTTTACATTCTTGTCATAGCTTTCATCAGTTAGATCTCATTTCTGTGTGGATCGCGGCTCTAGGACCAGCTGATCTTCTGCAATGGCACTCAATCTTCGTCAGAAGCAAACTGGTAATTCTCTTTAATCCCCCCCCCCCCCCCCCCCCACACACACACACACACTCTAGATCTCTTTCTATGTCGATGTCTGAGTTCGATGTTGAATCTGATTGAGCCTTGTGTTTCTAATGGATGGCAGAGTGCATAACGAGGGTGTTGAATCTAAACCAGCCGGTTAATGCTAGCGGGACGGCGAACGAGGAGGTGTATAAAATCCTCATCTTCGACCGCTTTTGTCAGGACATATTGTCGCCGCTCATCCACGTTAAGGACCTCCGCAAGCACGGCGTCACCCTCTACTTCCTCATCGACAAGGATCGCAAACCCGTCCATGACGTTCCGGCGGTCTACTTTGTCCAGCCTACTCGCTCCAATGTCCAACGCATCGTCGCCGACGCCTCCAAGTCTCTCTATGACTCATTCCATCTCAATTTCTCTTCCTCCATTCCTAGACCCTTACTGGAGGATCTCGCCTCAGGTACACACACATTCTATTCAGACCTTCGCGATCATTTTCTTATTTCTCAAGTTTTGCTTAGGTTCTTTGAATCGGGGGATTTGTTTTTCCTAAAGCTGTTTAATTGTGAAATATCTGCTGTATATTTGGTCACAAAGAGAACAAATTATTTCCACGGTTAGCTAAATAAAATACTCCCCCGTCCCTAAATTAACTTCCATAGTTCATTTGGCACGGGGATTAAAATAGTGAGTATTGTGCAGTGGGGAGTTGCGCAGAAGAGAGAAATGTGTAAGAATGGGTAAGAATTGATGTAAACCACAAAAAGGGAAAATGGAAGTTTATTTTGAGACGCCCAAAAAGGACATTTGGAAGTTTAATCAGGGACGGAGGGAGTATAAAGTTATTGGGGAAATAGCAAACTGGAGAGTTCTATCACAAGGTTTGAAAAAACTACTCACCCACAATCCAGTAGTATATAATTTCTAAGCAATTATATACTGGTTGGGTTAGGAGTTTGAACCATTTAGCTAGCTAGCGATACTTACAAAAGTAATCCTTTTGGATTTAAGTTATACACAGTAAATGATAAATGCTTGCGCAAACACAAAATGAGAAAAACATCACGGAACAACTATTCCGCAGCCCTACCATTGTTTCCGTCTCATCTGTGTACGGATCACATGCTCACTACTTTCTGTTAAGATACCATACGAGTTGGCTTTAGCTTTGCCCTTTAATATCGATACAACGGTGGGCTCGATCCTCGCTCTTGAAAGAACTTATATTTTTTAATTCCGTTTCTGAATAATGTGTATTTATAATTTATCTTATAATCTTCAGGAACTATTAGTTCAGACTCGATTCAGAGGATAACAAAGGTGCATGATCAGTACTTAGAGTTTGTGACACTGGAAGACAATTTATTTTCACTCGCCAACAAGAATTGCTATGTTCAGTTGAATGATCCCTCTGCCAGTGATAAAGACATTGAGGAGATCATTGAAAAGATCGTGAGCGGGCTATTCTGTGTTTTGGCCACACTTGCTGTGGTACCAATCATCAGGTGTCCCCGTGGTGGGCCCGCCGAGATGGTGGCTTCATTGTTGGATCAGCGACTGCGGGACCACTTACTGGTGAAAAATAACCTTTTTTCAGAAGGCGGGAATTTTTCCAGCTCTTTTCAGAGGCCTGTTTTGTGTTTGTTTGATAGGAATTTCGAGTTGTCTGTTGCTATTCAGCACGACTTTAGGTATAGACCCCTCGTTCATGATGTTCTTGGGCTGAGATTGAATAGGGTGACTGTGCAAGGGGAGAAGGGTGGGGGGACAAAATCCTTTGAACTTGACAGATCTGATCCTTTCTGGATGGAAAACGGGTCACTGGAATTCCCAGAGATGGCTTTGGAGATTGAGAACCAGTTGAATAAATATAAAAAGGACGTTGAGGCGGTGAACAGGCGAACCGGAGGGAATGAGGCTGAGTTTGATGGGACAGATTTGATCGGAAACACGAAGCATTTGATGAATGCTGTTAATTCACTGCCTGAGCTGACCGAAAGAAAGCAAGTGATAGATAAGCACACTAATATCGCGACCGTGCTATTGGGGGAAATCAAGGAGAGGTCCCTAGACACGTATGCAAAAAAAGAGGACGATATGATGGTCAGAGGTGGGGGTGTTGATCGCAACGAGATCCTTGGGGTGCTAAAAGGGAAAGGGACAAAGCTGGATAAGCTCCGGTTTGCCATCATCTACATCATCTCATGTGAGAACATCCCTCAATCAGAGATCGAAATGATTGAAGCCACACTAAGAGAGTGTGAAGTCGATACCAGTGCATTCCAGTACGTGAAAAAAATAAAATCATTAAACGTTTCCTTAGCTTCTGCAAATTCAGCAGCCAGCAGGAACAACATTGTTGACTGGGCAGAAAAGCTGTACGGGCAGTCAATCAGTGCTGTGACCGCTGGTGTGAAAAACCTCTTAGCTGGTGATCACCAGCTAGCTTTGTCCAGAATAGTGGAAGCCCTGATGGAGGGCGGGAAGCCAAACCCTGAAACTGATCCTTACCTTATATTTGATCCTCGTGCTCCTTCAGGTGGCAGTGGGGGTGGGGGACATCTGAAAGGAGGAGGCCCGTTCAAGGAAGCCATAGTGTTTATGATTGGAGGTGGGAACTATGTAGAGTATGGTAGCTTGCAGGATCTTGCACACAGGCAGCGACAGCAGCAGCAGCCAGTCAAGCATATAATATATGGCACTACGGAAATTCTTACAGGAGGTGAGTTCGTGGAGCAGCTTGCATTGCTGGGTAAGAAGATGGGATTAGGAGGAAGCAGTAGTATACCCGCTCCGGCCCACTAATGTGTATGTATGGTATGTGTGTATGTCTTGCATTGCATTTGTAAACCACATGTGGAAAATTTGTTTAAATGACCCCCTTCTCCCCATAGAATCAGGTTTCGGTTGTGATAAAAAAAATTTCATTACATACATCAAGTTTATACTTCATAGGAATATATTTTCTCGAGGGAGAAAGAAAAGGTTTTGTTATGTAACCCCCTCCCCTCACCCTGGAAAACTTTTGACTTGACACACTAAGGATGTTTTTACTCGGACTGAAATTTGTTGATCTAGTCTGGTCTGATCTGTTTAAGTCTGGTCTGAATTGGTTTGGTCTGGTAAATGTCTGGTCTCAATGTATTTTATAACAATGGAAGTCAGGTATGATCTGGTCTGAGACCGAAAACTAGGGGTGGACATTTCGGTTTTCGGTTCAGTTTTCTTCGGTTTTGGTTCAGTTTCGGTTTAATCGGTTTGATAGAAAATGTTCCAAATACAAACCGATTGAAATTTGGTTTGGTTTCGGTTTGGTATGATTCGGGTTGGAGTTCGGTTTACCAAAGTATTAAGGTTTGGATTGAAAAAAAAATTAACTCAAAATAATGAACCAAGAAGCGATAGTAATGAACCAAATATAATGTTAGATATAAATTTGCAAATAGTAACAAAACACATATGAACCAAAAATATATAAGCATGACACATTTGTAAACAATAACAACGGGAATGAATCAAATTATATATAAAGTCGACACAAAAACAAAACTGGTGCTTGTAAGTAATGAATCAAATATATAGTAGTAGTAGATAATAAATTATAGTTAAATACTATCTACTTAAACCAGTATAATTGTTATAGTTATGAATGTAACTCTTGTAGTAAACTCTAGTCCTGGACACTAAAATTAAAGAATTAAAGCTTCAAAAAGATTAACATCAATCAAATTAATGAGAGAAATCTTATATTTTGGTTTGGTTTAGTTTGGTGTAAGTTGGTTTTGATTTGTTATTTTAAAAACATAAGAAATTATTTCATTTTTAGATTAGTTCAGTTTTATTCGGTTTTATGATTTCGGTTCGGTTTGGTTCGGTTTAATACGGGTTGAGAGGAATACTACCAAACTCAAACCAAATTACAAATGGTTCGGTTTCGGTTCGGTTTAATTCGGTTTGGTACGGTTCGGTCAAACCGAACCGTTATGCCCACCCCTATTGAAAACAATTAAGTAAAAGTATCCTAAGGAGGAGTGAAATTGCATGGTTGTGATTGATGTAAAAAGAAAATAAATACTCCCTTCGTCCTATTGAACTTTGCTAATTTTCCTTTTATGGTTGTCCAAAAAACTGTCACTTTCCTATTAAAACAACTAATTTGTGGTTCTTTACATTTCTCTCTCCTCTGCACAAATCTTAACCACACAGTTTTTACTATTCTTATTCTCACTTACTTTGCACTTGGCAAAGTCCACCAGGACGGAGGTGGTAATATAGTACTACCTCTGTCCCTTAAAACTTTGTCAACTTTCCTTTTTTGGATGTCCCACTAACTTTGACACTTTCCCATTTAAGTAAAGAATTTGTGATTCCATTTAATTCCCATGTCGGTCAAGCTTGGCAAAGTTTTAAGGGACGGAGGGAGTATCAACTACACCATTTCTTTAAAGGATACAACAAGAAATTTATGGTACATCCCAAATAAGGGAAGTGGGAACCGGAAAGAAAGTTATGGAACGGGGAGTAGTAAACATCAAACCCCAAGTGAAAATGAGTTTTTTCCCAAAATATTTACGAGATTAGGGTTGAGTTAAAACTATTTACCAAATTACTGTTGGGCCAATTTGGGGTTAGGCAAAGCTGTCAAACCAAATATCATTTTTATATCATTTTTACATTATCAATATTACCATGTATAAATATATAAACAATCAAAGTTTATATTATCTATAAAAAAGGACAGAGGGAGTATAACATTATCAATTAAATCTGGATAGTAAACAAAAATATATCTGCACAAGCCGTTGAGGACGATTCCCATGGTCATTCCAACCTGCAATACAAAAATATACTAAATTCTTAGTAATAAAAACAAATTCCAACGGCACAGTCGGTACGTTTTTCTTTTATTCTACCAGATCCTTGTTAATTTTGAATGTTCTTTTGTTCATTCAGTATAGATGGTGCAACAGATTTTCATCTTTTAGCCATTTCAACTTAAAGGGTTACAATGTGGCGTTGTTCAAGTTTAAGTTGTGATTGCGTTAGTTTGATTTCAGATTGTAGTCCACATATTTGATTCTTAGCATGGACTCCTTGTTGCTCACAAAACCAGAAACCTGAATCCTTCCTTTAAAATCAGATTTTGCTATGCTTTGGTTTTCATTGTGGTTTCAGCTTTAGGCTTTGGGCAGTAATTCTTCATTAAAATCTTGGTTTGTAGTATAATTCACAATCTTATGTTTTAAGCTTAACTAGCACAGATCCTGTGCATACGCACCGGCAAAAAACAGTTGGTCCATATATTGTTTTATTCATGGTCTAATTTACATCATTTCAAAAATGAAGTACGATATAAATCCATGAAACAAATATTCAATGTAAAAGAAAATTAAAATATAAAAAAACCGACACCATCCATTAGAATTTGCTCTGTAATATAATAATTAGTATTGTTGATAACATAATCTCCCTCTGTCCCAAAATGAACTTCACAGTCACTATTCACATGGTCAACTTAAATTACTCTTAATCTTATGTTTTATATATCATTTTTTTTATCAAATTTATATTTTTTTTATCAGCCTTTGTAGCGATTTTAATGTAGTTTTTCAATATGTAAATTTTATTTACTAAAAGTAATCTGAGTATGAACAGAGATCGAGTTACTTTATCGTCGGTCAAGCATCATAATTCGAAATGGGAAGTTCATTTTGGGACAGAGGTAGTAATGAAATATTGAACTTAATTGTTAAAGTTATTAAAAACTACCTCACAAAGAACTTTGAGTAGTAATGTCTTATGACTTTCTTTTCTTATCATGTACTACGTACATAGTATTAAAATGAAAAAATTCCACTTTTGGTCCCATGACTATTACGCCACTTCCACATTAATCCCCTGAGTTTCAATTTAACCAAATGTAGTCCTTGACCTTTTCCACGTAACCACCCGTGGTCCTTCCGGCCACAATTCCAGCTAAATGTTACCGGAGACCATTTAATGAAGGGTAGTTGGGGGCATTTTAGTAAATTTAGATTACAAAAACGGCTACCTAATAAACTACTCAATTAAGTTAACTTAATTGTGAGCTAATATCGTCGTCTCCCTCTACCTCAAAAACCGAACTCTCTTCTCCCTCTGAAGAAAGCTTCCGCCAGCTCGACAAATCTCCAAAACCGTTCGAACAATGAGGACCCGTCTCGACCGCCGGCGTCAAGGAGAAGGAACAAGCTCTGAACGGCGTTCTCGAACAAATGCTGCTGATAAAGGTAAGTGGGTCAACTTTTTAACAAGAGTGGAAGAAAATAAATAATACTCGTATAAGGCTGAACTGAGGTTTATATATACGGTGGTTGCAGTGTTTGCACATGCTAGGGGTTTGATGTTGAGGTTCCCCTTTCCCTTTTTCCCTTTATTCCAAAACAAGGTAGGGTAGGCATGTGTTTTTTGGCTTAGATTCCCCTTCCCGGTTGTCTTTTACCATTTAACACATGGGACCAGTTCACATGTATCTTCACGCAAGCTTAGACCCATACATGCTTTTTTTTGAACTAATAATTATGAAATTCATTTATGGTGTTGTGTTGACCATTTAAACACACTATTGACCTCATTTATAAAACAACTGCAGCCAACTGTGGAAACACTTTTACTTTGAGGTTGTTTTATGGAGGAAAAGTAAATCACATGGAAAAACCTGCATACTTGGGAGGGTCAATCCATAATTTTCATGATGTAGAGGTTGATGAGTTCGGTTTGATTGAGTTGAATGAGAAATTACAAGAACTTGGTTGCACCAAAAAGGTAATGACTGTGTATTCCTATTCACATGAGAATGAGTCCCTAAAGCAACTAAATAATGAGGCAGAGGTTTGGGGGATTGTGAATGGTGGAAATGTTGGTAAGGTGGTGGAGTTTTGGATAGAATTAGAACCCAGTGGTGACACTGAAGATGATGATGACCCTGAGGATAGTGACTTCAGTGAGAAGGACTTAGAACACTTTTCTGGGGATGAGGATGACTCTGATTTGGAAGACTTCATTTCTAAGGAGGATGTTGTGTTGTCTACTAATGGAGGGTTAAACAGCAGTAGTGAAGGAGAAGAAAATGTTACTGAAGCTTCAACGGTGGACCCGGATCCTAACTTGTCTGATGATGCTTCCATACATGAATCTGACAGTGACTCTGAGAAGTGGACTACATTCTGTGCCAAGACTGATATGAAAGAGCCTACCTTTAAACTGGGTTTGACATTTGGCACCAAACAGGAATTCAAAGAAGCTGTGGAAAATCATGCATTTAAGAATGGTAAAGAGGTGAGGTTTGTCAAAAATGATAAGGAACAGGTTGTTGTGGAGTGCAAGCATATAGGCTGCTCATGGAAGATGAATCTAAGAAAGGTAATGAACTCTCATTCTTGGAGGATTTTAAAGTACCATGACACACATGAAGGTTGCTCTTGGGTCTATCACAACAAAATGGTGAACTCTAGCAAGGTAGCAAATAGGTGGTTCAAGGAGATTGAGGGTCACTCAAATTGGAAAACCAAAGAGTTTAGACAGAAAGTATGTACTGAAGAACGATTCCATTTGAGTCTCAGGCAAGCTTATAGAGCAATAAGTAAGGCCAAGAGAAAACTGAGAGGTGAAGAAGAAGATTACTTCAAGAAGATATGGTCATATGTGGCTGAAATAAGAAGGACCAATCATGGGAGCACATGTGTTGTCAAATTGAGTGAAAATGTAGAAGTGGATGGACAACAAAGATTTCTGAGGATGTATATGTGTTGGGAAGCCTGCAGGGAAGGATTTAAACAGTGTAGACCAGTGCTTGGGGTTGATGGGACCCATCTGAAAACAGCTACAGGGGGCCAACTTTTAGTTGCAATTGGACAACAACATTTGTGAGTGCTTTAATAGTGTCATACTAGAGGCCAGACAACAAGCCCTTTTGGTGTGTCTAGAAAGTATCAGGAAACTACTACTAACAAAGTTGTTCACTAGCAGGACCAAAGCAAGGAAGTGGTCTTCAAATATTTGCCCTAGAATAGCCAAGAAAATCCAAGACACTGAGAAGTTAGCTGCAAGTTTGATTGGATATCAGTGTGGTGACAATGATTTTGAGATAATGGGAAGTCATGGTAACCAACATGGTGTGGATTTGGAGAAGAGAACATGCACTTGCAGGCAGTGGGACTTAACTGGGATCCCCTGCAAGCATGCAATCTGTGCTATATGGCTGAAATTTGGAAAAGGCCCTGTTGATGCATATGTGCTTCTATGGAAATGATGATGACCCCATTGATATACAGTAATGGGTAGACTAAAATGTGTATTCATGGTGCTACTTTGATGATGTAATGTAGTACATTTTTTGCTTTTTGGAACTGATGCAACTTTGATGATGCTACTGTATTGGTATAGCTTCTATGTTTTTGAGATACTTTGGCTATTCATGATCTCAGTGTGATCATGTAATGTATGGATTAGCATTTTGGTTTTCAATGATATCATGTATTTGGATGATCTGATGTAATGTATGTATGGATTAGCATTTTGGTTTTCAATGATGTCAGGTTTATGGATGATCTCATGTAAGTTCAAACAATGGTAGTGATGTATTAACAGGTTGTCAAGTTTGTCAAGTTTGTCAAGGTTGTCAGTTAGCATACATATGTGTTAAGCACATTTTAAACTTATCAGTTAGCATACATATGTTATCAGTTAGCATACATCATGATCATATAACTTTCATTTCATACGAAATCATGATAATCAACAGCTTTTAAAAAGCTTTTACAAGTACAACATCACACACCTCACTACATTACATTATTTGCCTTTCAACCACACTGAAACAATAATAACCACGACACACATAAAGCACACTACTGTAATGCAGTTACTACGTTTTGTCTTCTTCTGTGGTTTGAACCAGTTTGTCTCCAATGTTTCAACCTTCAATTCCAATGAATGGATTTTTTCTTCATAGCCATTCAGTTTTTTCAGTAATCCTGGGATTATTTTTTGAGACCTTTTGCACATCGGAGGGTCAAACCACTCCATCAAACCACAACCTTCAAATCTCTGCAAGAACATATATATTTTCCAATTCAGCCAACGAATATAGAATTTCAAAATATTTCATATATTACAACTATATATAACCTGACTTCCAATGCATTTCCAAAATCTTCTTCCACAGTTCTCTGGTTTCCAAGTTGTCAACATCTTCATTCGCTGCCCACATTCACAATACTTCACCGGAATCCACTCTCCATATTCATATTGGCCCGTACAGTTTGAACTACCTGATTTTGAGCTAGACATGGCGACGGAGAAGCTGTGGTGAGATGCTTGTCTGCACCCACTCAAACCAGTCAAACCAATGCGACGGAGTAGCTATGGCGAGGGAGGTATAGCGAGGGAGAAGCTATGGTTAGAGAGTCTGCGTTTATGGCCTTTAAACGTTGGAGTTAGGTTTCAAACCAATAAATGCTATTAAATGACGCAACTACCCTTCATTAATTGGTCTCCGGTAACATTTAGCCGGAATTGTGGCCGGAAGGACCACGGGTGGTTACGTGGAAAAGGTCAAGGACTACATTTGGTTAAATTGAAACTCAGGGGATTAATGTGGAAGTGGCGTAATAGTCATGGGACCAAAAGTGGAATTTTTTCAAAATCATCAATCCATATTTTCTAGACTCCCGATATATTAGAATATTATTTTATTGTGTTGAAATTAATTGTAATTTAATTAATGAGTCTTTGTATTTAATTAGATTAGCTGAGAGAGAATTAGGCCCAAATATAGTGCTCTTAATTAAAGCCCACACGCCTAAGCTGCTTTCCTTATTGTAATAGGGCTGGCCGAACCACTCCCTATAAATATAGAAGGAGTTGGTCGAAATCAGCTCTAAATCTCTACACATTACATTCCGCATATTATTCTCTGTAGAGCCAATAGATTAGAATTCTCTCTCTAGATTATTCATTCGAATACCAGGCATTATTTTTCATCGAATCATCATTATGAATACAAGGTATAAATTGATGTTGAATTTCTCTTCTACTGTTTAAATTCTTTTCTATATTTCTAGATTATTCGACTGTTGCATCTGGGCATAGTTCACACAATTGGTATCAGAGCCTTGGCGCAATTCTGTTCATGAGAATTCTTGAATTTTTCTGGAATTAATTTGATCAAAATTATAATTTTTGGTCAAATTAATTGTTAGATATGTTCTTGGAAACTTACTGTTTTAGAAGGCAACTGAAACTTGGAAAGCTACGGAAGAAGAATCCCAGTACAATTTGAAGTTACCATAATCTCGCTGATCCGATATCCTATAGATTTTGCATACCCGAAATCTTAAGCAATTCCGAAATCCTAAGAATTTAAAGCTCCAAAATCCTAAATTCTGCAGGTCACCTAATTTCTATTTTTGGAAACCCGAAATCAGCATCTGAGATTACAATTTCGGACACCCAAAATAAGGCTTTCCGAAATCTTAAATTCGGACCATCCGAAATCTAGTTTTCCGAGTTTCTAATTTCGGACGCCCGAAATCTTCTCCGAATTTCTAATTTTAGACACCCGAAACCTTCCTCCGAAATCAGCATCCGTAATCTTCTAAAGCAGTTCCAAAATCATTTTTTTTCCCGAACAGTTCTCGCCTTAAATATCAACAACAATCATGGAAGCATACACACTTGGAAGTGATTCAAGATTTCCTCTGCTCAGAAGGGGAAAATTTGCTGTCTGGAAAGTCTGTTTGCTCAATTTCATTCGAAGCCAAGTCTGTTTGCTGACTGCCATATCTAACTCACACTTCGAGTGGTCCTTCATTGAGAGAGAAATGTGAAGAACCACAAATTAGTTGTTTTAATAGGAAAGTGACAGTTTTTTGGACAACCATAAAAGGAAAATTGGCAAAGTTCAATGGGACGAAGGGAGTATTTATTTTCTTTTTACATCAATCACAACCATGCAATTTCACTCCTCCTTGGGATACTTTTACTTAATCGTTTTCAATAGGGGTGGGCATAACGGTTCGGTTTGACCGAACCGAACCGTACCAAATCGAATTAAACCGAACCGAAACCGAACCATTTGTAATTTGGTTTGAGTTTGGTAGTATTCCTCTCAACCCGTATTAAACCGAACCAAACCGAACCGAAATCATAAAACCGAATAAAACCGAACAAATCTAAAAATGAAATAATTTCTTATGTTTTTAAAATAACAAATCAAAACCAATTTATACCAAACTAAACCAAACCAAAATATAAGATTTCTCTCATTAATTTGATTGATGTTAATCTTTTTGAAGCTTTAATTCTTTAATTTTAGTGTCCAGGACTAGAGTTTACTACAAGAGTTACATTCAAAACTATAACAATTATACTGGTTTAAGTAGATAATATTTAACTATAATTTATTATCTACTACTACTATATATTTGGTTCATTACTTACAAGCACCAGTTTTGTTTTTGTGTCGGCTTTATATATAATTTGATTCATTCCCGTTGTTATTGCTTACAAATGTGTCATGCTTATATATTTTTGGTTCATATGTGTTTTGTTACTATTTGCAAATTTGTATCTAACATTATATTTGGTTCATTACTATCGCTTCTTGGTTCATTATTTTGAGTTATTTTTTTTTTCAATCCAAACCTTAATACTTTGGTAAACCGAACTCCAACCCGAACCATACCAAACCGAAACCAAACCAAATTTTAATCGGTTTGTATTTGGTACATTTTCTATCAAACCGATTAAACCGAAACTGAATCAAAACCGAAGAAAACCGAACCGAAAACCGAAATGTCCACCCCTAGTTTTCAGTCTCAGACCAGATCATACCTGACTTCCATAGTTATAAAATACATTGAGACCAGACATTTACCAGACCGAACCAATTCAGACCAGACTTAAACAGATCAGACCAGACTAGATCAGCAAATTTCAGTCCGAGTAAGAACATCCTTAGTGTGTCAAGTCAAAAGTTTTCCAGGGTGGGGGGAGGGGGTTACATAACAAAACCTTTTCTTTCTCCCTCGAAAAAATATATTCCTATGAAGTATAAACTTGATGTATGTAATGGAATTTTTTTTATCACAACCGAAACCTTTTATAATATCACATAAAATATTCAAAGAAAACCAAATGAGTCGGTGGTGCAAATGTTGTAATATTCACAATTTTATTCAAATGAATAAGTAAAAAATATAAATGCGATTTGCTATTGTTATTGTCAAATATCTTCGCATACAAGTAGAGTTCAAAATATAACAAATACAAATATGTCTGATTAGCTATCTTTGTCATAGAATGCATGAAATGTGTAAAAGTTAAAATCATATATGCTAAATTTGTATTTTTCATGCCTAATCTATTCATTTAAATCCTAAAGATGAACAATGAAGAAAAATAAAATGTATATATATATATAAATATATTAAAAGGTGTTCGGTGTTCGGTTCGGTTGACGATTTTTCGGTTTTAAATCAAACCAAACTAAACAAAATCAAACCACCAATTTTAGGTTTGGTTCGGTCAAACCAAACAATTTTGCCCATCCCTAAAGGCCCCTATGAAAAATTTCTACTCGATACAAATAAGAGAAAAATAATTAAAATACCCCAAACTTTGAAGAGATGTGATATGAACATCTCAAACTTGGATATGAAATTTAAATACCCCAAACACTATATAAACAATTATTTTAGCATCATAGTCAAGTATTATTTTTCTCAAAAATGAAAATTTATGGTGTTAATTCATATTTTAGAATTCATGAAGACACAATTAACATTCTAAATTTCCATTGCGAAATAAATAATGTTACCCTAATCTATATAATCAAAACACTTTTAATTTTCTATTTTAAATTATGCAATTAGTCCTATAAATTTACATTTGTGAAAGAAATAATACCAATGATGCAAAAATAACTTTTTATATAAAGTTTGGATATTTAAATTAGATATGCAAGTTTGGGGCGTTAACCTCACACCCCTACAAAGTTTGAGTATTTTTATTATTTCCCTCTACAAATAAAACAAGTTAAAAAAGAAGCAAACGGTTGGAAAAAAAGAGAACAAAAGAGAAGAATGCAGGGATATATGCGAACATGGGATGATGGAGGGTAGAGAATGAAGAACGCGGAAAAGCCGATGCTAAACGCTGCCTAGGCGTTTCCATTTTCAGATTTTTGTTCCCAACAAGTTAATTCAATCATCGTTTACCAAAGAATAATTTTGGATGTTTATATAGTCAAAATAATTAATTGTAGTCAAAGAAGTAAAAAATAATTGACTTCCAAACAAGGCTAAAGTCAGGGATTTGATGCTCTAAGGACTCTTAGGGGACTAATGTTAATATTATTTCTGAATAGCACAAAAGTTGTTTTCATATGATCTGATATCTTGGATATTCTGATTTTTTTCAACTGCCAATCATAAAGACAAGGTGAAGAGAGGAAAATCATCAAAATAAATGCAGTCAATAAAAAGAGATATTAAAAAGAAACAAGAACATAATATAAAAGAAATATTCCAGTGTTTCATTTTATAAAAAGAAACCATGTCATTAACGTTTTCGTTTATAATGGGTGTGCACAAAATAGAAGCGTGAGTGGTAATACTTGAACTCACCCCATAATGTACTTTGATTCTATCACCCTTAAGAGTATGGGGTTCACAAGTACTCGTCTTATGCTTCCACAATTCACAAACAAAGTAGACAAAAAGATAGGTGGAGACACCACTAAACATTAAAACAGGTATACATAATCCAAGTTCTATAATCACATGATTCAAGTCAGCAGATGTTAAGAAAAGACATTAACTAATGTGTGAGTGTGTGTGTGAAACTCTAGGCTTACATATTTAGATCATATAAGTCACACATAGGTGGCACACCAAATTCTCATGGTGACTGCAGTACTTTGGATGGAAAATGCTTGATACTCGCTAAAAGACTTGGTTGAATTAAGGACCGAAATGATGTCGCTTTACAACTTATTCACGGTAATAGGAAAGGGGTCCTATATGACTATATCTACGCAAAAGAACAAAATTTTAAGTTATTATCTTCCAAGTCATTCCAAATAAGTCATAAATCAAAAATATTTATATTTTGATGTGGTGTTATCTCATACTACCGTTATCCCAAAAAACTTCGTCATTTCATAAAATTTGTATCACGATTTTAGTTAGCATAATATTATGGAATTTATAAACTTTGTACTTTATTGCATAGGTGAGGTCACAAGGTCATTCCATGTTAATTTGTCATTGATATATTTTTCTCAAACTTTATTACAAAATAATGTGTCAAAAAGTAAAATTATGACGCATATAAATTCTTCGTCACGAAAAGAGAGCAAATATGACGAAATAATCCGTTCGTTCAACCGTCTTCATCTCCGACCGCATATTATCCCGCCCATGTTATTCTTTATTGTCCGTGCGATGAATATTGCCTGCAGAGTATTAAACCACTTTGTTCAGCTTTTGTTTTCCTTTTGATTTGTTTTACTTGTCTAAGTTGCAGGTCATGTGGATCAATTTGGGAAGATTACCTATAAATTTCAGATTATTATAGAATAATGTATATTTGGGATTAATATTGGAAGACCATGGATAGTTGAGATTATTCTTGTCAATTTTTCCTATTTTGTATGACAATTAATGACAAAACACGACTTCGTCATTATATTTGAAAATTATGTGATGAAATTTATAGTCATTAATTGTTATTAAAATTGTCATCAGAAGATTTCCCACCAAAATTTGGGATCAATTTTTGGCGCTAAAACTTTCAGTGACAAATTTGATTTAATCGTCACATTTTGTATCAATTAGTGACGATAGGTGAGAACTAAAGTGACAAACAATGATATTGTCATAATAACTCATTTTATAATGACGAATTTTAGTTTTGTGACTATTACTGAAAAAATATGACAACTTTTTGTTTGTCACACAATATTTTCTCACAAAATGTATGATTTCTTGTGGTGGCGCTCATCATGCCCTGCACTAGTTTGTTGGGCTCCCAAGCATAATATCTTTGTTTTTTTCTTTTGTTGCATTTCTTTTCCCGTTTTGTTATCTTTCTTTCCTTGCATTGTAATTTTTTCTGTTATGAACAAAATTTTCCTTTCTAAAAAAAATCATCTTCCAAGGATGATCAGGGATGTGGAAGTTTGCCCAACATATTAGTCATCATAATATGCAGTTAAAGTGCAACTGCCAAATGGACCTCACTATGAGATGTTTTATGTTTGATAGTTGCGAAACGGTTATTGATGTCATCTTCAACCGGTTCATAATGTGAATTTTTAAACTTTGATTTCAATCATTAGAAGGATGATTCATTGGCTACTGATTCTTATGAGATCTCTAAGGCAAATGAAAAAGGACATCTTCTCTAAGGCAATTGAATCCTGATTGGAAGTATGTAGATTTGTTATCTAAGGCAATTGAAAAGCATAAAAAACTGGAATCTTATGAAGGAATTCTTATCTATGGCAATTGGAAGAAATGAAAAAACGTTAAGCATTTAACCAAAATAAATGAAATATAAATTGCTTGTTCATGATTTTTTATAAATCAATAGCTACTAATGAACACTATAATAATAACTTAATAAGACATAGGATATATTATCAACACACCTTTGCTTTTATTATATAATTATAACTCCAGTATACATGTGCTCGTATAAGTATTATATCTTAAATAAACATGTCACATATAAACTACTAATGATGAGTAGTTCGATCACCATTGCCGCCTCTATTTCCAAATCCTCCTCCACGGCCTACTCCACCACCAACTCCTCCACTTACGACACCACTAGCTTCACCAATAATTCTACCGCCAACTCCACCACCTGCCCCGCCACCTGCTCCACCCCCAACACCACCACCAACTCCACCGTGTACACCACCACCAGCTCCAACGCCAACACCGCCACCTGCTCCGCCTCCAACTCCTCCACTTGCGCCGCCACCAGCTCCAGCCCCAATTCCACCACCTGCGCCTCCTCCAGCTCCACTGCCCACGCCACCTCGTGCACCACCACTTATTCCACCGCTAGCACCACCACCAGCTCCACCACCAACTCCACCACTTACTCTGCCACTAGCTCCACCGCCAACTCCTCCACTTACGTCACCACCAGCTTTACCAACAATTCCACCGCCAACTCCACCACCTGCTGCGCCACTTGCTCCACCCCCACCACCACCACCAACTTTACCGCGTACACCACCACCGGCTCCAATGCCAACACCACCACCTGCTCCACCTCCAACTCCTCCACCTGCTCCGCCTCCAACTCCTCCACTTACACCGCCACCAGCTCCAACGCCAATTCCACCACCTGCGCCTCCTCCAGCTCCACCGTCCACGCCCACGCCACCACTTATTCCACCGCCAGCACCACCACCAGCTCCACCGCCAACTCCGCCACTAGCTCCACCGCCAACTCCTCCACTTACGCCACCACCAGCTCCACCAATAATTCCACCGCCAACTCCACCACCTGCCCCGCCACCTGCTCCACCCCCAACACCACCAACAACTCCACCGCGTACACCACCACTGGCTCCACCGCCAATACCGCCACCTGCTCCGCCTCCAACTCCTGCACCTGCTCCGCCTCCAACTCCTCCACTTGCGCCGCCAGCAGCTCCAGCACCAATTCCACCACCTGCGCCTCCTCCAGCTCCACCGCCCACACTTCCTCCCGCACCACCACTTATTCCACCGCCAGCACCACCACCAGCTCCACCGCCAACTCCACCGCCAACTCCACCACTTACTCCGCCACTAGCTCCACCGCCAACTCCTCCACTTACGCCACCACCAGCTCCACCAATAATTCCACCCCCAACTCCACCACCTGCCCCGCCACCTGCTCCACCCCCAACACCACCACCAACTCCACCCCGTACACCACCACCAGCTCCACCGCCAATACCGCCACCTGCTCCGCCTCCAACTCCTGCACCTACTCCGCCTCCAACTCCTCCACTTGCACCGCCAGCAGCTCCACCACCAATTCCACCACCTGCGCCTCCTCTAGCTCCACCGCCCACACCACCTCCTGCACCACCACTTATTCCACCGCCAGCACCACCACCAACTCCACCGCCAATACCGCCACCTGCTCCGCCTCCAACTCCTGCACCTGCTCCGCCTCTAACTCCTCCACTTGCGCCGCCAGCAGCTCCAGCACCAATTCCACCACCTGCGCCTCCTCCAGCTCCACCGCCCACACCACCTCCCGCACCACCACTTATTCCACCGCCAGCACCACCACCAGCTCCACCGCCAACTCCACCGCTAACTCCACCACTTACTCCGCCACTAGCTCCACCGCCAACTCCTCCACTTACGCCACCACCAGCTCCACCAATAATTCCACCGCCAACTCCACCACCTGCCCCGCCACCTGCTCCACCCCCAACACCACCACCAACTCCACCCCGTACACCACCACCGGCTCCACCGCCAATACCGCCACCTGCTCCGCCTCCAACTCCTGCACCTGCTCCGCCTCCAACTCCTCCACTTACGCCGCCACCAGCTCCAGCGCCAATTCCACCACCTGCGCCTCCTCCAGCTCCACCGCCCACGCCCACACCACCACTTATTCCACCGCCAACTCCACCGCCAACTCCACCACTTACTCCGCCACTAGCTCCACCGCCAACTCCTCCACTTACGCCACCACCAGCTCCACCAATAATTCCACCGCCAACTCCACCACCTGCCCCGCCACCTGCTCCACCCCCAACACCACCACCAACTCCACCGCGTACACCACCACCGGCTCCACCGCCAATACCGCCACCTGCTCCGCCTCCAACTCCTGCACCTGCTCCGCCTCCAACTCCTCCACTTGCGCCGCCAGCAGCTCCAGCACCAATTCCACCACCTGCGCCTCCTCCAGCTCCACCGCCCACACCACCAGTCGCACCACCACTTATTCCACCGCCAGCACCACCACCAGCTCCACCGCCAACTCCACCACTTACTCCGCCACTAGCTCCACCGCCAACTCCTCCACTTACGCCACCACCAGCTCCACCAATAATTCCACCGCCAACTACGCCACCTGCCCCGCCACCTGCTCCACCCCCAACACCACCACCAACTCCACCGCGTACACCACCACCGACTCCACCGCCAACACCGCCACCTCCTCCGCCTCCAACTCCTCCACCTGCTCCGCCTCCAACACCTCCACTTGCGCCGCCAGCAGCTCCAGCCCCAATGCCACCACTTGCGCCTCCTCCAGCGCCACCGCCAACTCCACCACCCACGCCGCCCCCACCTCCACCCCCAACACCACCACCAGCTCCCCCACCAGCTCCGATTCCAACTCCGCCACTTGCGCCAGCACCTGCTCCACCGCCTACTCCACCACCTGCACCGCCACTAGCTCCAACGCCAACTCCACCACCTACGCCGCCACCAGCTCCACCGCCACCACCGCCACCACCTCCGCTGCCTCCACCCCCACCCCCACTACCCCCTTTTATACTACCCGTACTAATCACTGCCAACTCATCGTTATTATCTCTCACATGTCTAGCAATGACTACAGTTCCAATTAAGGCATAACATAAAATGGACGATAAAACGCAGCCTCTAGTTCTCACTTTTGCCATTTCAAAGGTTATTGCTTTCCTCGGAGACGTAAGATTTTTCACTTGGAACTCTTGTGAATGTAAAGCTCTTTATATAGTACGGAGTATTTCTCTTAGCGCGCGTTTCATTCTAAGACAGCGTTTGATTTTCTCAACCACTCTCTATTACTTAATTAAACTTAGAGCCCCATTAATTAGGAGTACGTACATGCACTTTTTAATGCTATATTTATTAGATCTCGTCGATAAAATCATTTAATTTCTAGGAGTTGTCGTTATAGAAGTCAACTTTTTTTGCTCGCCCAGATGATTTTACAGCTCTCATGCCTCTAAAATTCTATAGACCGATTAATAAGTACGATTATTCGAACTTTGTATTTAAAGAAACTTGAATTACTAGTTTTCAACGTAACATCAAACCACGATGGTGAATCGTATTTTTCAAATATGCATTTATTTGCAAAGAAAGCAAACTCTGAAACTCATATTCATGTCCGCAAAATAAATATTTATTCATGTTGTGAGGTAGCTTTCAACAAGTAGTATAGTACACGTGCATACGTACAAGAAATAGTAGTTGGTGCATATATTATTACTCATGATCTAATTAAATATTAAAACAAAAATAACTTTTTAGGTTTCTACATTTGAGAGAGAGAGAGAAAAAGAGTACAGTAAATTAATATCATAAAGTATAAGTCATACAATAAATATTTAATTAAGAGTATATTAGGAAAAATTAATTGAAACCACTCGTTAGAAATTGTTATCTACTCCCTCCGTCCCTTATAACTTTGTCAACTTTCCTTTTTTGGATATCCCATTAACTTTGTCACTTTCCCTTTTAAGTAAAGAATTTGTGGTTCCAGTTCATTCTCTTTCCTCTGCACAAACCTCAACCACACAGTTTTTACTTTATTATTTTCCGTGCCGGTCAAACATGGCAAAGTTATTAGGGACGGAGAGAGTATTAATTTTCATGATTAAATTAATTTTAAAATTAAATACAATTCTAAAAAAGTAAGTACAATAAGTGAATGACATAAAGTTTAAGTAAATATATACAACAAATATTAATATTAACGAATATTAGTTAAATAAGAACCATTTAATCATTAGTTAAAATAGTGCTAACATATGTGAGAAAACTACATATAAGAAAGAAAATTATCCCGCTCAATTGTTAGGAAAATTATTTTTTAATACCTAAAAGGATTACATATGAGAGCGAAAATTATTCCACTCAATTCCCCTGCTCAATCGTTAGTAAACTTATCTTTTATACTCCCTCCGTTCCAATTTACTTAGCCAAACTTGACTTTTCAAGTCAATGACGTCTAACTTTGATCGATTATATGTTTATATAGAGAAAATATTAATAATATGAAAATGATATGAAAATGTTCTTTGTTAAAAATACTATCATAAAAGAATATAATTATTAAATTTTGCATAAATATATTAGTTACAATAATTGGTCAAAGTTTACCATCTTTGACAGTAAAAGTCAAAGATGGCTAAGTAATTGGGACGGAGGTAGTAATACCTAAAAGCCCTACACATGATAGAGAAATTTCTCCCGCTCAATTATTAGCAAGCTTATGTTGTTATACCTTAAACCACTTCATATGAGAGAGATAATTCTCTGGCTCAATTGTTAACCGGCTCATCTTATCTTATACCTAAAAGCACTACATATAAGAGAGAAATTTATCGCGCTCCATTGTTAAAAAAATTATTTTCTAATACCTAAAAGCACTACATATGAGAGACAAAATTATCCTGCTCAGTTCCTCAGCTTAATTGTTAGCAATCTTATCTTCTAATACCTAAAATTACTATTAAAAAAACCTAAAAACACTACATATGATAAGAGAAATTTCTCCCGCTCAATTATTAGCAAGTTTATATTCTTATACATAAAATCACTACATATGAGAGGGGAAATTCTCTCGCTCAATTGTTAGCCGGTTTATCTTATACCTAAAAGCACTACATATGAAAGAAAAAATTACACCACTCAATTGTTAGCAAGTTTAACTTATATATATATAATAATACCTAAAAGCACTACACATGAGAGAAAAAATTATTCTGCTCAATTCCCCTGCTCATTTGTTAGCAAGCTAATCTTCTTACTATTCCTAATACTCTTACATATGAGAGAGAAAATTCCCCCGCTCAATTGTTAGTCGGCTTATCTTATACAGTTATTATACCTAAAAGCACTACATATGAGAGAAAACTTTTCCGCTCAACTTGTAGCCAATGTATCTTATACTTAAAACCACATTTGCATGTGAAGTAATTAATCTGCGTTCTAATCTTTCTAGTGCACATGGAGCAAACTTCATAGCTCCATTCCGTTTTTCCAACTATAAACTTTGCAACCCTCCTAATTGTGACATGCACATAATTATTTTCTAGAGAATAATATGAGATATTTAATATCTAATTAAATTGCTAACATCTTGTTACATACGTACTAAACAACAAAAGAGTATCATAAATGATAAAAACGTAAGTTTGATATAAAGAGTATCATAAATGATAATATTTAAGAAAAAGCATCGATTTTTCAAATAAGCATAATACTTCCATCTCATGAGTAGACAAATTTTAATGGGATGGAGAGAGTGATATAAAATATATTCAATAATATCATTCGTAATAGAAAATAAAATGTGTACGAACTACACATGTTACCTGCAGAAGTTTTGACAAAATAGAATTTAATATTAATGGAGTAATCATATTTTTAAAATCATAAGGCTCAAAAAATAAATTTACAATACATTAATAAATAAAGTATAATCAAAGTAAAATATGTGAATATTATTGATGGAGTATATGGGTCCAGACCCCACGACCCACATACCCAGAAGACTAAAGAGGAGCACAACCGTCATCTACGGGGCCCTCCGTTGGCCAGATAGCACCGGCCCCATCGGCCGACGAAGAGTCAATCCAGAATACGATCCAGAAGTTAAGGAGAAGACTTGTCCTCCATCGGCCAGAGCCTCCGTCGGCCAGAACCTCCCGTCGGCCAGAGCGCCAGTCAGCCAGAGCCCCCGTCGGCCAGACAGATCCCGTGGGGACAGTTTCTATACTTAGTCAAATTCTTATATCCAGCCCATTAGAGACCTTATATTGTGATGGGCCTCCCAAGCCCAAGTCTTGGGAGCGCATCACATATTTTCCCTATAAATACTCCTATTGGGAGCCATGTAAAGGGTGGGAAATTCATATATACATATCATTTCTCTCTCTAGCTCTCACTTCTCTCTAAGAGTCAATACTCTATCATTTGGTGCTTTCATTGAGAGCTAGAATAAATCAAGTGAGACCCTCCCAACCCATAACATATCATATGAACGGATGGCATGGTACCACCTCGGCCCTAGCTGGGGTAACATGCCCCTTCGGCCTAGGAGCAAGATGGCACGTTTGATATACTCATCTGCCACCCTCACCAAACTACCATGCGACATGTGGACAACCAACGACCACCAAGACGCATCAAGCTGTCCCTGGGTCAAGAGATGACCCCTCTGTCAAAATCAAGACAAATCCTAACCAAGATGAGTTTCATGCTTCGGCCAAAGAAAGCAGGAGCATGGCAGGTGACGACCAAGGGATCAATAGCAATAGCATAAGAAAGGTTGGTCACCCCCATCCACCGATGGTTGGGATCATCCCTCGGCCAAATGGGATCCTCAGCTTCGAGCAGCACGTGGCTTCTCTTCGGCCAAAGTTTCACCTCGGCCAAATTGGATCCTCATCTTCGAGCAACAGTTGGCTTCTCTTCGGCCAAATAAAACAAACCATCGACTCAAACAGGGAAAGGCAATCCCTTCGGCCAAGGAAAGCTAATCAGCACCCCTCGTCATGAACGGCCCCTCTTTGGCCAAACCTGAGAAGGAGGACAAATCTCTCCCCTTTCATTCTGGGAACAGGAGTGGCTCCATCCTCGGTCAGACGACCCTCGTCCACCGCATCATCCCTGGCCAAGGTCAACAGGGAAACAAACAGGACCCTTCGTCCAACAGGAGAGCCGGTGCCCCTCTGTCAAAAGTGAACAGATGGTAGGTAAGATGCGACACCCTTCATCCTGGGAACACCGCTGCCTCGGCCAAATGACCCTCCTTGGCCAAGGTGGACAGAAAATGGAAACAACGGAGCAACAATAGTGCTCCACCCCTCGGCTAGACTGTACAACATCGGGGATCACCTCGGCTACACCGTCGGCCGTACAATCATCGGCCATACAACTAGAAGAATTCCACTCCGATCAAGATAAACAAGCACACATTGGCTAGAAGTGCACCATCGGCGGAGAGAGCTGTGCCTCCTTCGTCCAGGTGCACCCGTCTTCTATCAAGTAAGTGTAATTATCATTATTATCACTACCTACTAGCCGGTTAAAATCCGAGAAATGGTGCAACCTGGGCTCTAACCTACTGAACATCTTTATTTGAGGATACAGATTATATTTAGGTCCATCGACCTATCCCAGTCACCTTTATTTGGTGGCTCGGGCATCTAAGAGCGAGAGCCGCTATCGGCCGCATACGGCATTGTGCCTAAACGCGGTAAACGATACACCTCACTCCAAGACGCTGATCGTGTCGCCCAAAAGCCGTTGCCATGAAAAACGCACCTACTGTGTTCCGCTTATTTAGTGTAAATCTAAATAAAGGAAGCCACACAAACAACACATCATTTCGCCCCCTAGAGCGAAGCGCTCAGGTATGGCCGGCGATGTCCCAGGACGAAGGGCCCGCAAAATGGCCCACGTCTTGAAACGAGAAGCTCACCGCATCGTCCTCGCGCTAAATCACAGGGCGGCAACCCTGAAAGAAGGCCGGAGTGACAAAATCTCCACACTTGGGGTTGGGAAACGACGCGTACGGCCGTCAGAAACTAACCAAAAGTCTAGCCCCGCGCCGTAAATAGACGAGGGACCCCCCATGATTAAGGGACGATCCAGCGCAAGAGGACTAACAACTGCCCATTTGATAAGGTGCCCATTTTTGTAATTATTAAGGATAATTGCAAGAAAA